ACCTACTAATGGAGCTGTATAGAAGATACCTGCAGTGAGAATGCTTTTGGTTAAATAAAGGGGTTTATGGGGTCTTTGGGGAGTGGATGGGGTTGATGCATGATTTGGTGCGATGTGTTGCGATGTAGTGCGCGTGTACATAGCGTACATATTCTCTTGTACAATTTGTTTTTCAAGTTAATTTCCCTTGCGAGTCGCACATCGTACATCGGTAATCATCCATGGCGAGGAGCATAGCGGATATGGATGGATGGAATGGCATGGATGGATTGGGTCAATATACTACATAGAAGCGTTTTGTTTTATCTGCTTTATCTGTTTTTCCCATTCATTTACCTCTTCCTAGTTTACCGTATTTAGTTTTTCTTTCTTTCTTTTCTTCTTTTCTTCACTTACTCATATTTTATTATTGACACATTATCGTTTGGTTTCTTGTTTTTACTTTTTTACTATTTCACTTTTTTACTTTTTACCTTTACAAATTCATCTGTTTACACATATATACGTACATACATACATCATAGCATTTTTATTTTTCCTCTCATAATTCTTCGGTTACTCTTTTTTTTCTTTGATTCTTTTCTTGAGCAATTCGGGTATAGGGAAGTTTTTGATACCATTGTTTGTGTGTATAGCGGGTCGGGGATGGATAGGAGAAGAGGAGAGAATAGAGAAGTGAATATGGTAAAATTGTACCGAGGTGGAGGAACGGACGACGGGGGAGGCGGGGGAGATGGGATGGGAAGGGGGCGCAGACTGCGGGTGGAAATAAAAAACGCAGAGAGTATCTAGGTGACGGAGTGGATGGGAGGGGAGAGGAGAGGGGAGAATGATGAACGGGTGAGAGATGGGTAGGGAAGACAGGAGGAGAAACAAGATCTTTTTTTTCTCGTATATATATGGATGGACGGATGGACGGGTGTATGTACCTGTATATACATTGTGTATAAAAGGTAATAAATGATTGTAAAATATATGCTAATTATGTATGTGTTAAGTACATGCTTAATCGTGGATTACAGATACTTTTATCATGATTTACTTTTAAAGATATAATCTATGTGTAGGTACTTGAGTATGCATAGACACCCAAAAATTGCCATCGGCAGACAGCTTGTATCAGCGATTAAATACCCTTGACCTGACTTGACGTTCAGATCGAGTAACGCCACCCCCTTAACCTTAAGACTAATATTTTCGTATATTCCATTCCTGGTATTTGAACCCAAACTCCCTTCCCATTCAATTCCCGCCCAGTCCAGTCCAGCCAAGCGCTAATGTTGAGATCCCAGAAACAAGAGTTTTACCCAACGCCTCGTTATTATGTTTGTACTATTTACAATTATGTGGACTACTGTCTATGCGAGCGACCAGTTCTACCATAAGTTGGTACGAGGCGTGGTGGCGAAGAGCCTCTAGATGTTCTGATTCTATCAATACCAAGAGGTTGCATGGTGCGATGATGATTGCCTCCCGGTGGACCTGAAGGATGATGGTATTGAGTCCTGCGACGATTCCCAGAGGAACCGCCCTCTGGAATATCTCTATCGTTTTCATCTTCCCAATAATTTATGTCATCAGGGTTTCGGGCATTTCTAACAGTATTTTGATGCTCTGCAAATAGCATACTTATTCTTGAATTATACTGTTGATTACCGGCGTTATTTCTCGGTTGTCGGCGTGGGGGTGGACGAATCGAGCTGTCTGAATCGTCATCATCGTCGTCATTCCCGGCAACTTCGTTCGCAACACCGAGATTTTCGGCCAAATTACTTTCCACGCTAACATCTCGACTAGACCGTGATACACCAGGGGACACACTCATTTCAGTATCACCATCCCGATCCATGCTGGGTATTAGATCTCCATCGGTGTCATAGTCGTAATGCTCGTTCTCGCTCCCGTGATTGTTATATCCGCCGTCGCTGATTCCAGCGTAATCGATTGGTGTGGCATCCCCATCCACGCTCGAAGAGAAACCATCGAAATTTGGGTCCATTTCCTCATAATCATAGTTTAGTATCCCCCGAAGCCCGCCCCGAGGCCGATCTTCTTCTTCTTCTTCTTCTTCTTCTTCTTCTTCGCCATCTGAATTTGGATTACCAATCGTGTCCGAATCGCTTTCGTCCGAGGCTCTTTCATCGTCAGTTGTAGTATAACCACCATATTCACCGTGCGCCAATCTGTTTGTATCGTCATCTTCTCCTTCATCCAATGGACTCCAGCCTCCCGATGCCCTCAACCTGCGTGCCTCATGATTGACCATCTCATCACCAAACTCCGAACCATTTGCACTGCTACCATTGTCGTCATCTGAAATCAAGATAGATCTAGAGGGTGTACTACCATTCTCCTCTGCTGAGATTGAGATGGCTCTGGAAGGCGTTTCTGATGATGCGGCCCAGCCAGATCGCGGCCGCCGGCGATTCGTAATCGCACCACCTTCGTCATCAGAATCCTCTTCATCGTCCTCATCGTCCTCATCATCTTCGTCATCCGATATTATGACCACTCTCTGTCTAGCTCTACGTGGTGGAGGAGCAACGGACTCGCTATCTTCGTCGTCATTTGCAATAAAATCTTCCAGTGAACCGGCGTCTTCGTCATCACTATTGTCCTGATTGCTGGTATCGGAATTTGTAGGATCTTCTGAGTCGTCGTTCAAATTATCCACACGATGACCACGCTGATGAGCGTGGTAGTGATGGAGAACGTGTTGGTGAATTGGACCGCCGAAAGCAAAGGGATTATGACGAAAATGGGAAACGTTTGGACCGTCTTCTGTTGCTCTGTGTAATCCGGCTTCAAGCTCAAGCTCACGCCCCAGATTATCATGATCCCGCTCTATATCTTCTCCATAACCAATGTCAAAATCTGAAAGATCGCCGTCGTCGTCCATATCGCTGAAGCCATAAATATCGTCAAACTCAGCACCACAATGATCGCACGTTGGCCCACCTTCATGTTCATGCCCACAGGAAGGACATCGCATAATCCCGTCCGCTTCATCAAGCCACAGTTCCCCATGCCGTAGTGGGAATGTACCTCTGAACAACCCTTCGGGGCTACTTTTATCTTTCTCTACTATCTCAGTTTCTTCGGCATTCCTGACCTTGTGCTGTTCTATCGTCTCGTCGTCTGGCATTAGTTGACCTCTTTGGATGAATATCTCGACCATGTTTTTAATCTAGTGCTGATTAATACGCCTCAATTTTGCTTAAACCGTTTTCTAGGAGTTTCTTACAAGGAACGCTGGAGCTGGTATTTGCTTGACTGGTGCGCGGCATTCTGGGCATGTCTTTTTTCTCTTATTTGGGATGAACCATTGACACAGACACTATAATCACGTCAGCCCCTATTCAATTAGCCAAGTTCAGGGAATGCACTCACGGAATAACAGTATGTATGGCCACATTGTAAAATCCATGGTTCGTAAAGTAGTTGGTCGCAGATGGAGCAAGTTAAGCATTTTCTCATGGAGATCAGGTCGTCTCTTAGACTGTCCGCAGAAACCTGGGAGAAATGTTAGCGTATGCTACGAGGATGACTCCTTTCCAACGAACCTGAACCTGCGCTTTATGTTCAACCGGCTCTTCGTCCCTGGTTTTCACAATGGTTTGGAGCTTCTCAACAGGTGATGTAGCCTCCCGAATCCTGGGTGTATTTTCGCGCATGCGAGATCCATGACTTGGCGTAGCTCTGGACATAACGGAGGAGGGTGAAGAATTCATGGTAATTTCCAACGGTATCTTAGGAAGGACTGCTAGGATCGCTCGCCGTTGTGTATGGCTAAGCAAGGTAGCAGTGTAATAGAATTTATATCTATTAAATTGTTCGAAAGAAGCGCCTTGTCTTTCGAAGCGCTCAAAAGTGCCTTCTAGATAAGGCTGTAAGTTGGAATGAAAAGTCAATGTCGGGTCGTGAAAATCGATGGACGCACAAAATGGATTGCGTCCCGCAAAGATAACCTTAGCTCAAGCCTTATTTAGCGTGATGGGGTAATCTATCACGTGTACTAGTGTCGAGGGGCTTCGGACCCACATTTCGAAGGTGGCTTTGGGGATCGTCTGTGGCACAGTAGAGTATATTCCAAATCGCGTGCATCATGGGTAAATCTCATGTCAAAATGAATTGTAGATAGCTGTACCTTCCTACATTGAGAGAACTACGAAACTTGATGTTTCATGTTAGTACCGCATGTCATCTAGACCTATCCATATTAGTTGTCGTATAGGAATCATTCATCAATTAACCTCACGATTCTGTTCATCTAACAATCCGATATCCGAAGTTCTAAATATAGAGGCCGGATGTATTCGAAGTCATTGGCAGGACTTCTTACAGATAATCGTCAATTCCTCTGAATCAAGATTATATTCTATATTGTCTCCAACAATAACTAAGCAATTATCTATGTCCAGGATCTACAGCAGTACAGAAATCTCTACTCGATCTAATCAGTGTTTCCCACGCGACTGTATAGGACAATCAAAACATAAATCCCCTCATTCATCTCACTATATCGTAAAGAAGCCCCCACAGATTTCATATCAGCATTGCATTGGTTCTCTCAACTATAAAGCAACATTACGTGGCACCCATCCAACCAACCAGCTATCGAGTCATCCAATACCAATCTATCTCTCAAAATCCCCCACCAGTGATTTACAACCCCGCCCAAGATTTTCCGGTGTATGCAGTGCAAAACCATCAAATAAACAATACTCACAATCTAATCAAAAAGCAAGCCATCAACAGTTCATAAGTGCTATTGCATTGTACTAACAAGAAAGGGACGAAACCTAAGATTCGAAGCCAAAGACTATGGAGCAAGCTCCAGATTAAAAGAGCCTATCTGATCTGCATCCAGCACGCTACCTTCAATTTCATTCCAAGATCCAGAAGAAATGTCTTCATTCAAACGATCGGCGCTAAAGAGGGAATAAAAACAAAAGAAATTCGTATCAAGTCATTAAAGTCTAGCTGGCCATGCCCATCATTCATTCAGCCCTGGCTTTCTTCTTTGGACTCGCAGCTTCAGCGCAGATCTCTCCCAACTCTCCGACCTTGACAAGTGATTCGTCGACTATCTCTTCGTTTAGGTGAGTTAGTTGGCTGATTTCGAAATCGAGGAAGGATTTGATAGCTTTGGCATTGGTAGCGCCGGCTTTCATGGAATCGCGAAGTTCTTTGAGCATCATTCTGATACGGGCTTCGGCATTTTCCAGTTGATATTCGACCGTTTGTCCATACAAATCGGAGAGATTGGAGATGGGTCGGACAGTAGTAAGGACGGTATCGTCACGGACACGTGGAGATCGTGGACGGAAGGAGGTAACCATGGTGACTCTCTCTTGTCCACCAAATGCCTGCAGTGCTTGGTGATCAATATAGCGACCTTGCAAAACCACAGCGCATCCCTAGGCAACGTTATTAGATATACTTCAATGTGTGCAAGCGATCAGCGTTACCTTTGATGGACCGCGGACTTTTTTGATATCACCAAAACCAGTTCTCAAAGCAGTCTCGCCGCCCACCATTCCTGTTGTGTCACTCATCATGAGAACACAAACGAATGGATAACTGTCTCTGTGCCAGCCGACAATGGGCTTCTCATCCTCCTCGCTTATCAAAACACTGCTATCATGGCTGCGTTTTTTCCCTGGGACAGACAAGTTGACATGTCCAATTTCATAGTCCATGACAGGAACAAGATCCACACCCGCAATCTTAGAGATAATTGCGAGAGTTTCAGGGTGTTTCCAGGCCTCGTAAATGAATTTGCCGTGGCTGCGTAAAGAGACAGGTTAGTCAAGTAATTAAATACACCAAAGGTGATATGGTAACTTACTCGGGAGCATAACCACGGAGTTGTTTGGGTGCGATATCTGAAGTATAGCTATACTTCTCTTGGACTTCCTTGTCGAAAATCTCTTCCCTCATAACATTAACAGCTTCTTCGCTAAAAAGGCGGAACGGCTCAGAGACAGCGACGGGGGAAACACCAGAGGTGGCAGAATATCCAATATCTTCCATGGTATGGACATAGCTAGGCTCTTCATATTGAAGATGAGTCTCAGGTTTGAATAGCTTTCCGACAGCTGGTGCACTCTGCTCTGAGGCCAGATACTTGGCGAAGGACCGCTTGAGGCTGTCTTGAGTTGCTCTAGTGGAAGTGTAGTTCGCTACCTTAGGGAACAAGTTTGGCTCAGGAGTTCCTGGCTGATAGCTTACATCGATAGTGGCCATCTCTGCTGTTTGTGGACTGTTTTTGTATTGGAGAAATGTAGTTGAGTTTAACTGTTGGATATAGTTATTGAAATTATTGTTCAACCACTGATGTACTGGTATCAGATGGTATTGTGGTGTGGATCCTTTTAATTTGAAAGATTTTGTCGTAGAGAATATGATCAAGGGCCTGTGGTTCTGTATTGTACTAAATAGATTGTTAGACAAGATATGCTGAGGCAGCAGATGAACTTGATGCGCTCAAGGAAATATATGACCATCTCAAAGATAGGGGAAGCGATCATGATGAATCTGTCAGAGTTTGATGCATTGCCAGCTCGAATACCACGTCTGAAACTCGGGGCTCAACAATTCCATGGTATTCGAGGTTCCACGAAACCCATCGCTTGCCCGCTGAGTTTGAGACAGCAGTCTTGAGAGATGAGGAGAGAGAGTCGAGGCAAAAAAGCGCACCCATGCAATGTGGACAGCGCATTGAAACGACAGTAAGGAATGTGGATATACTAACAGATAAATTTATCCGAGGTGCAGTAATTCAGAAAGTTGCTGACTGGGTTGGTAATTGTATGATAGCACAAATGAAGAATGTTTTGATGGTATATTATAAAGGTTATTGCAAAGGTCAGCTCGAGAAGGACAACTCTTTTATATCTATAACAGCTTCCAAAGCCTTAAAATTGAAGCCCAATCTACGTCTTGTGTGGTAATCCATCGGTGCCACGATTGTCAACCAACCATCATCTTACACTACTATCAATCCTTCGTTAATTTTGCACGTCCTCGATGCTTCGATCCTGGCCGCCCTTACTATGCTCCTCCACACCTTCTTTGGCGGTGAGTTTATTCCTTAGATGACCTTGGGGGTTGAATGTGGAGATAGTTTCACGATATCTTGGGTGAAATCGTCACTCCAGCATACTCCTTATCGTTGATTAATATCCGAAGTGGTCGATCGACGTGCGTAGGTCTAGCCTGAACAGCAGATTTGATATCTTCCACTAAAACGACTCAATAATAGCGCTGCACCAAGCGAACATGAATGCAGGGTACTGTAACTGAGATACATTTGCATGGAAACTGTTTCTGCAAATGGATAGTGGGAACCACACGAACAAAAAATGTGCGCAAGATAACGTGGTAATCAAATCCTGCCCTGACCACAACATCCAATCGGTGAGCTGCCTCAGTGTTATAACCAGCCACAGAAGCAAGGGAATTGTATGCCAGTTCCATGCTCGAGCGTCATCAGTTGTATGATTTAGCAGTTGGTAATGTATAGTTGGAGTACAAATTACCAAAGTCAAAAGACAGCAACCAATTATGGAGACAAGTAGAATCAAAAGTGGAGGTATATCGATAGGTGTGGAGGGCTAATGCATCACGGGTTGATCAGACCAGCTGGAAATGATGACCCAAAATGGAACACAAAATACTTCTTAGCACTATCGGCTATATTTGGCATGCTTCGCTTGATGCATTGAGCCGTTAACGGACAAAGAAAAATCTATCAATAATGTTTGTTCTGGAACATCCGGCAAAAGACAAAAGACAATTATATAACAGAGAAAACGAGACGCATTGAAGGTCGTAACTGAATGTCGCAATGGAAAGTTGCAGTGGAAGAATTCGCGACGGAAGAAATAATATCCACCTTTATCGTTTGTCCATTTGAAAAGTCATTTTTCATGGTAACGAGTGCCAGACACGAATGTGATGAGCTTCTCAATCGAAACAAGGTTCGTGTAGGTATATACTACTACCAAAGTAGTAAGGAATCTCATTTCAGCTAACAACCCTATTGTTGGCAATTGCATGAGACCGTTCGACTCTCCAGAAGAGATAATGTCTTGTGATCGACATTTTCCCTCAACAAGAAACTGGCACGGTCCTGACAACAACATTGGCAACAAGAGGATGATTTGTGTGGAGGAAGTGGTCCTTTGAGGGGGATTCCCGGTAAATTCGGCCGTTCATCGTGAGTTGATATGCCTGGCAGTTTGGGTCTATTAATGGAGTTATCAATATGATGCATTGGATTGTCGATTAATAAAGCTCGTATCCATCCTCAATGATGTGGGTGGTAATGAATTGATAGCGATCATTCCTTTCAGTTATTGCATTGTGGGCTTCGTTATTGGAAAACGCTACAGCGTAAGCATGTAAGTTTATGTGCAGAGTATAATTTATGTTGTTGTCTGTATAAATTCAAAATGAACATATCGCAAGGTTGTGAAAGATGCTTGGATAATAATCGGGAGGAACTGGTGGAGAGGAGATGTCTAAGTTCAAATAACTTCAAACATTTGAGTAAGAGGGACCAACTGAGCAATGACACTTTTCAGCTACCTCGCTAATAAGTGCCGATGTTTGGACTTGGCTCGGCTGATAAGAGGACCCTGCCACGAGCCTGCTCTTAGATAAGGGTGGAAAGTGGCTGTGACGGCACGTGAGTGGGAAATATGAAGTAAGCACGAGGCATGATACTAGCTCGACTAGGTAGGTAATATGTATCTTGCATGTGATTTTTCGGTTGATCGGAGTTGGTATCGGCAATGGTACCGGGAGCCGGGCATCGGGCTTTACCAGGATTGTCTACGATAGAAGGGCAGGTGATGGTGATGAAACTTCAGGAAGCTTTGACTTTCTCAAGTACGAGTCTACGAGGTGAAACCAAACGGATTACGATTACGACCAGCTGTAACTTGATCAAAGAAGTGATTCACATTCTACCAATACCAACATCTCCATATCACATTCATTCTGCACCAATTGCAGGACTGCAGTATGTCGTCGGATAAGCCTACAGAGAATCCATGGGATAAAGAGACGAGTCAAAAGTTTGAAAGGTATTGATATTGCGTCTTCTTGTGGCGAAGGGTTCAAGATGCTGATTTCTCCCTGCAAAGCAAACGCCCAGGAGAATACTTCGACCCCTGTCAAGAAGCAGCTTCAAGAAGTCTGAAATGTTTGGCTCGAAACGGAGGTGATAGAGATATGTGTACGGACTATTTCCAGTAAGCTTGTCCCCAGAATGTAGGATGAAGAAGATAGAAGTAGCGGGTAGTAAGTCAACCTTATGTGGACCCTTGATACCCAATGTCCAATTAACAATAAACAGCAAAGAATAGCAACAAACCATAAATTGGCTCTTGGACGGGGAGTCATTACAGCTTTTGGACCTTTCATACATCAGGATTGTGGACTAATTATTTGCAGAGCATATCGAGACTGCAAGAAGCAATGGGTATGCATCAGTCCTTCTATTGTGGTCAGCTAACCACATACTGATATGATTCTAGATCGAGCAACGAAAGGAAGCCAAAAGGAAAGCGGGGTGGTTCTCTTCATGAGAAAAGGGATTGTGTATGATGAAAATGTGATAGATCGATTTGCGGGGAGGGACGGCAATAGAGATAAAAGTTACTGACAAGGGCCTTATCCGGCAGCTCAAAGTAACATTCTGGCCAACAAAATGAAAAATGGTTGCTCAATTCGTTGGTGCTCATAACGGACTCTCTATAGATTAATAAATGGCTCTTATCAAAGCATTCAATCTAATGTATGCGGAATATCTGTGTACGACAACTGATATCAATCTCTTTCAGTTCAGGGTGTCAATACCTGCGCCAATAACTAGCCACTAGATGTGTAATGCAGCACTTGAATCTTCATTCAATACCACAAAACATATAATGAAACGACATACTAGATAGATGTCTTCCTACTTTGATCCTTACCATCATTTGGACTTTTATTCATGTTTTCATCGTGTGTCGATATAATTTATAAGACTATGGATGACATAGGAGAAAGAGCTAACAAATTTGGTGTTCTTCTCTTTCCTCGCTAGTCAAATCCAATGATGCAACTTGAAAAAAAATTATATTCATCAATATTGATTGACTTGTTAAAGACTCTGATTGTTTCCAGTGCGGCACCCTGATGACAAGCCACAACACCTGCATTTTTCTAATCCACGAACTTGAAGATAAAGACATTTTGATTAGCTAACTATCCATCACATTCGGCATTTCTCTTTCTCGATCTATACCTGGTAATATTTGAATGATGGCTGATAAGCTACTCAATGAGCGTCAAGATGTCCCTATTTGGAATGCTGTCGAAGCCGGCAATTTTAAGCAAGCGCTGAAGTTAGTTGACAAGCGGTTGGCCAAAAAGCGGACACCTCATTTAGAGGTATGTGTGAATGGTGAAATATCACTCCTGAATATCTCTTCTTCACGTGACTGAGGAAATCTCCCATCTCACGAGTGTAGCTAAGCAAGTTTCCAGGCATTCAAGATTTATATTAAGTCACGTTCGTCTATTCAATCGGAGAGGGATAGCATACTTCCCCATCTGGAAGATTTGGTTGCTAAGAAGGTTGTCATTACGGATCAGGAGGATATAGATCTCTATGATGATGCTTTAGTCAATGCCATTCCAGATCCTGGATCAATCTGGGCAAGGACGATTGGTGAGTTGCGATGGCAAAGCGTCAAAGCATATCCCAAACAAGAAGATTCTGGGTTGAAATCGTTCAAGGCCTGTTTGTCGGAACGCGACTGGGAACACGCTCAACAGGTATCTCAACCTCTCATTAATTTCATCATGGGATGCTAACAAATGCTTGACAGATTGCGAGTAGTCTTGAAAAGACATTCCCAGGTAAACATCAATACGTTTTCTGGAATATATCTTCTTTATTCCTTAGATCTGTAAGTAATTGTATCGGATGAGGAACATCTTCTGAAGCGTTTTGCTTACTCATTACCAGACTTCGAGCGATCTTCCTATCGAAAAGAGAACTCTATGGGGTCGATTGGCTTTTGGACAGATTAGTAAGCTTGCTACAGCTACAATACAAGCAGATGTATGTGTTCATGTCTCGTCCAGGATTACTGATATTAACCCGGTGATTTCAGAAGTCAAAGCCTCTCCCGACTCGTGCGATACATACACCGCAGGAGCTGTTGCTTTTACAACGAATTACTGCTGCACATGGTAAATTGGAAGATCGATTGAACTATTTAAATGAGCCTTCTCTTGGACCAGAGTCGATCGTTGCCAAAGGTGATTGGGAATTATGGAGAAATAAATTAGAGCTTATGGAAACATCTGAGCATTGGCAAGAACTTTTTGAGACAACCAGCGGTCTTCTCAAACGTTCACGCACAAAGGATGAACGCGGACAGATCATTGAGGCTAGAATGGCCGACTGGGCCGTGTGGCAAGCGTACTTACACTCTGCTCTTTCTTTGCAAACCCCCTCGTAAGTACTGTGACATCAATAAATGGAACAACAACTTACAAAAGCAGTGCCCTTGATACTGTTTCAACAGAAATTGCATCGCATCAAGACCCCAATTCTGGAATTGACAAAACATGGAGAAGAAATGCATCTTTAGCATGGCTTGAGTTTACCTTTAAGAGTTCTTCTACGCCATTTGCTACTGAGTCATCTGGATCAGATGTTGAAATGTACCCTAGAGTGGCTGCAATCGTCAAATATTTGCAAGAATTTGGCGATGCCACCACAGCCTTTAGCGATCTCAGACCTTACGTAGAGCTATCACAAAGTGAGGAACGCAAAAAACTTCTCGACATTCTCAGGAATGGAATTCAATTCGGTAAAAAGGCGACCAAGGACGATTTAGATTCTCAATTCACGGCCCTGTCGGTTACTAAGAACGAAGTAAGCTGCGCACTGAAACCCAAATTTACTTATGATTTTCTAACCTTTGTTACAGTTCGACAACGCAAACGATATGACGAGATGTGTTAACTTACACAAATTAACTCACCTCATCGTGAGTAGTATCTCCGAACACGAACGTCGGTCGAGCCCTCTACATAAAACTAGTGAACGATCATTCACTTGCACATACTGCTCCAATTCTTGCGGGGTATACTGTGAGGTCTGCCTCGAGCAACTCTCCAAGGATTCTATTGCCGCCTACACATCTGCAATGAATGACAACGGGAAAATTTCCAAGTCTCTTCTCCCTACAGACAGACATCCTGCCGATGATTTCTGCACATTAGCAGCAATGTGCTTGATAAAACTTGCTCTCTCAGACTCCAGTGATGTTGACGGGTCTCTAAAAAGCAAACGAATCGCGTACGCCTTGCAAGCAGCTGTGTGTCTCGAATATGGCTGGTCACAGTCTAAATCGAACTCTGATTTCTCACTCATTCTAGTTAGAATATATTCTTCGCTTGGCTGCGGCCAACAAGCTATGAAAGCATACCTTCACCTGAGTTTGAAGCAGATACAGCTTGATACTCTAGGGTACAGTATACTGGATAGGATCTCATCCCTACACCCGCATCCATTCCCTTCTGCCCCAGATGGATCTTCTGAAAATCTCAAGCCTGTAGACCACCTCAAAAAACAAAGAAAGATGTACGGAAATTGTCGTCACCAAGTTTCGAATAACACCTGGAAAGCATTTGAGTATGGAAGCTACAACACAATATTCCAATTTCAAGAGTTTTCTGGAATTATCACCAACACATTGTCGGCAGTATCTTCCGCTGTCGAGACCACAAAGATATCGCGGCTCTTGAAGCAGACCGCGCCTTCGGATGTTTTTAGCATTCTTCGTGAGTTTACCTTATTCATTTGACACATTCAAGATATATCTGACATACGACTAGCTAAAAACCCAGAGATGTTGGATAAATTCTCGGATTCCAATGACTACACTTCATTCCCTGATTATGAGTCTACTTTGGGAACAGGACTTGAAAAGTCTACCCGGTTTGCACCTGGTCCATCTGTAAGTTTGTTTCATAATACCGCCTGTACCCTACTAACCCCATCCAGAGCAACCGAAGCCGTGCAGACTTGCTCGTCGAGAAATTAATCTCCATGATAAATTCCGATGCCACATCTACGCCAATCAATTTTACCTCGTTCAGAGAGGACATTCTCCAAATATCCACCGAACTCCAAAAACAAGCAGAATTGATCAAAACCAGTCCAGCCGAACCCTTCTTAACACGCTCTGAAGCCTCAGCACTCGAAGCATACAGCAATCTCGCTTCCATCATAGCCAAAGCCTGCGATCCCACCGCATCATCAGCTGCGGATTTTCAAACCTCGCTCGAAATCACCAATAAATATCTTTGCGCAAAATTGGAACAACATCTCTCTTTTATCAAAGAGGATAAAAATGTAACCCCGGCTCTGTGGAATACTCTTCATACACTTTACACAGCCTATGATCTTGCATCTGTTGTCATTAGCGCTACGAAACTCCTCGCACTTAAAGATGTTAAGGCTCATAAGCTTCAGGTAGAACAGAATAAGACTTTGGCGGAAAGCGCAAAATCGGTAATGGAAGCAGTGGCTGAGAAATCGAAGGAGATTAAGAATGGATTGGATGAAAGCGGGTGGATCGATCGGGTGTTGGAAAGTATGGAGGTGGGAGATTCAGTGGAGCAGTTGAGAAGTCTAGCGGGGGAGAATTTCATGGAAGAGTGGGCTGGGGGTATGGTGGAGGCGTGGAGAGATTCGGTTACTGGACTGGGTTTGTTGAAGATATAAGGGGAAAGTTTTGAAATGGGCGAGGATGCAGATAGATACTATGGGCTCCAATGTGCAGTAAAATATCACTTAGGTGAGGTATAGAAAAGCATCATAAAAACTCATCTTCCCACAACCCTCTCCTTTCTCATGTAGTATTCATGCATCTTTCAAATATTTTCTCAAATAGATGTTCTTATCCATGTTATATTATGTTTAGCTCACCTAAATATAAGCATAGAAATATTTTACCCTCAGATAACATCTCAAGTTCATTACATCATATCTTCCTCTGCAGCCTTCTTTTGCGCTTTTTTTTGAGCAATCTGCTGTCTCTCCTCTCTCAAAGTAACGAAAACCCAAAACCAAGCCATCATTTCAATAAACCCCCAGGTAAAAATAATGCGATTCTTGAGACCCTCGCCCCAATCACCGGCATGATAGGAGTTGCGAGATGTGAAGATAGGGGAGGCGGACGAGAAAAGCCAAGAATAGAGTGATAGTGCCGCAGAGAATGAAAATCGAATGGGTGCTGTGGAGTGTATGTTAGTTTTGGTTTTGGCATGGATGAGGGAGGGGCTGGACAAACCTTGGGTTCCCCAGTGGTATTGGGATATTTCTTCCGGCATGGAGATGGCTACTAGGTCTGTGATACCGAGGAAGAGGAATATTATTCCGAGAAAGGATATTGGTGCGGATTGGCGGTCGAAGGAGCGTTCGTAGGGCTGTTGTATAGACAGATTAGTATATATTAGGTATAAAAGTATACATATTGACATCGCAGATGTGGGAAACAGAATAAACTCACCAAGCCCATCGATTCACCCAGGATGAAGACTAGCGACTGCTCAGCAACCGTCACCGGATTGGTGATGAAGAAGAATGCGAGAGTGATGTGGAAGAGGGAGAGGGAGGTAATGATCGTTGTGCCGGAAATGATTCCCATGCTGAAAATATGTTGCTGTGTAGAGAATGATGGAAAGGGGGAATGAGGTAGAAAGAGTGACTTTGGATGAGCTGGATATTTTTGGTCGAAAGATCATACCCATCTATTCTTTAGAGCCACAAGGCTAGATGCTACCCTGAAAGCTTTATTTAGGCGTTAGGATTTATCCGATTCCGAAGCAGGGGGTAATGCCTATAAATAAGTATCTATGAGGTTCTTGGGAAGCCTGAGCTGGGTGAAATTATATGCTTACAAAAATCGTGTACCGTTTCAAAATTCGATGGTTAAACGGCCACTCAGTATTTTTGTTACAAAACTAGTCTACATTTTTCATAAATGGACAATTGCTTGAACCTATTAATTTTATCATGTACCATATGGTTTTGTAGCTGTTGTATTACATGGAAATGGCAGTGTTTTCTAAAGGCTTTGAATTAAAAGATCTTGGCATTTCGATCAACTTTTGCTTGGTCAGCAAACACCAAAAATCGTTCTTCGGAAGGGGCCTGTGTCATCACGACGCACTATGTGAAATCTCCCGAGCTACATCCATGTCTTGAATTGTGACCCCTGAAAGTATCAGATGAGGGATAGACAACTTTGAGCTTGTCTGCCATCAAGCAAGATTGTCAAAATGGCAGAAGCTAAATTGGAGGTCGCAAAACATATCAAGTATTGGCAGAGATGTCTACATTCTCTATTGCCTACTGTATACACCAGTACAGATTCCTCGCGCATGACTCTGGGCTTCTTCATCCTTTCCGCGCTTGATTTACTCAATGTTGGCGCATCTACTTTTCCAGAGTCGCAACGCAGAGCTATACGAGCTTGGATACTGAAGTGCCAACATCCATTTGGAGGGTTTTGTGGTTCTACTAATCATAGGTTTCCTGATGTTTATTATGCAGACGTAGGAAATGGGAAACGAGATATCGACCCTGCGAATTTACCTGCGACGTTTTTTGCGGTCTTGAGTTTGGGTTTTGTGGGGGGATTGAAGGATGTGAAAAGGAAAGAGTGTTTGCGATGGCTAAAACGATTGCAGAGGGAAGATGGAAGTTTTGGGGAGTTCATTACGGAAGATGGGAAAATACAAGGTGGGACAGACATGAGGTATTGCTATGTGGCTACAGCGCTTCGATGGATGTTGACTGGAGATGCGCATGAGGAGAGGGGAGAGGATGATATCGACGTGGAGAAATTGGTGGGACACTTAAGGGCTGGGCAAACATATGATGGAGGAATTTCAGAAAGTGCGCAGCATGAGGCGCATGCTGGGTATACCTATTGTGCTATTGCGTCCTTGTCCCTTCTCGATCGATTGCCAAAACAGGCCTCTTCGCAACCTACCGAATCTTCAAGTCCAAATTCCACCTCGCCAGGTCTTACGAACTTGCCAGAAACTATTAGATGGCTGGCATTGAGGCAGACTTCGTATAATGACGAAGAGGAAGAAGATGAAGATGATCACAATGGAGCGACATCGGACCATCACTTTGTACCGGATATTGATTCTACATTCGTCGGCTTCAATGGGCGGTGCAATAAGCGGGTTGATACTTGTTATTGTTTCTGGGTTGGGGGATCTTTAAGCATGCTAGGTCATTCCGACGTTATCAACAAAGATGGATCTCGACGATTCCTGTTTGAGAAAACGCAGCATATGATTGGTGGCTTTGGGAAAACGCCAGGAGATCCACCAGATATCTATCACTCGTATCTAGGACTTGCTGCTCTAGCAGTACTGAAAGAACCTGGCATCAAGGAACTCGACTCCGCATTGTGTATCAGTGTGGATGCCAAGAAGAACATGAAAGAGCTAAGGAAAGCTGCATTAGTTCCCTCTAGGACATATTGGGTGCATGGATACAGTTTCACAGTAAGGGAAGATAGCCCCCAATTTGGAGAAAAGATGGCAATGGATGAAGGTCCGCCGAAAAGTCTAATAGATGCTTTTGGGGGTGTTAAGATAGCGGTATGATAACGGCGTTGTAATTCTTGGCTGGGTGTTTCTGTAGTACTTTTATAATCATACCACCTAAGTTCTTATCTTCGATAATGTATCAAGTAGAGAGTGGCTTGAATGTATCATGCTCGCTGTAGACTTGTAGCTATCATCAAGCTTATCTTCGGAACTTTTTTTTGGCAAATCCCCTGAAACTCCATCACGCGGCGTTTTATCGGCAAAACACCCGAGCTTTCAATCGCGTAACGTCATTCGCCGAAGCTATGAGCTTCGAGCTCTTTACCGCAGCTCTTTCAACCTCATCAAAACACAACCACATTCAATATGAGGCTTCTCAATTTTTCCCCGCTCCTTCTCCTGGTAAACGCGGCTCATTCATTTGATTCGCAGACCCCAATTATCGATGAATCGTCCTCGGGCGCATTGAGCCTTCTCGAACTTCACAAATCCCTTGTCGAGATTGGATCTATTACAGGAAATGAACATGATGTTGGCGCATTCCTGATTTCTTACCTAAAGGAACAAAATCTTACCGTGGAGATACAAGATGTCGACTTGGTCGAATCATCATCGTCGTCGGGAAAGAAGCGTCAGAATGTGCTAGCATATATTGGAAATAAAAGACAAACAAGAACATTGGTAACCTCACATATCGATACTGTGCCACCTTTTTGGCCATACGAAAGAAGAGGCGATGAAATATGGGGCAGAGGAAGTGTAGATGCGAAGGCTAGTGTTGCAGCGCAAATTACTGCGTACCAAGACCTTATTGCGGCTGGCAAGATTCACGAAGGGGATGTTGCGCTTTTATATGTGGTGGGCGAGGAAACACTGGGGGCTGGTATGAAGGAGGCCAATACCCTGGGTCTTTCTTGGGAAACCGTTATTTTTGGCGAACCTACGGAACTGAAATTGGCGGCTGGACACAAGGGGATAATAAGTTTACGTATTACTGCGAAGGGGAAGGCTGGGCATTCGGGATATCCTTCGTTGGGAAGAAATGCCAATGCGATGTTAATACCTGCATTGTATGAATTAGGAAGAATGGATTTACCGTGGAGCGAGAAGTATGGAAATACCACGCTCAATATCGGAAGAGTTGATGGAGGTGTCGCGGCAAATGTTATTGCGGAAGACGCGATGGCCAAAATTGCTATTAGAATTGCTGCTGGTACGCCAGAGGAATTACGAAAATTGGTTCTAGATGTGATAGAAAAGACAGGGCAAGATCTGGATGTTGAATTCACTCAGGGCTATGGGCCAGTACATTGTGATAGTGACGTGGAAGGCTTTGAAACTATCACAGTCAACTATGGTACTGATGTTCCAAATTTGGAAGGGGATCATAAGAGGTATCTATATGGGCCAGGAGATATCTTGGTCGCTCATTCTGATCACGAGCATTTGAAGATCTCTGATCTTGAGGAGGCTGTTGGCGGTTATAAGAAGCTCATCGAACACTCGCTGGCTTAAGTTATGTTATTTGGACACTCAACTCAGTACGGTAATATATGTCGGAAATTGAAGCTACGTGGAATTTGATCAGTCGGTTTTTAACATATTTATGACAGAGTCTCGTTCTAATAGATATTGGGCGCGAGCCTTTTTAATATAGTCCTGGAATGGAATTTCCCTTCATACAAATTGGGCTAAACTTCAGGCATAACTCATACTGCGTGAACCTTTGAATGTATGTCTGATTGATAATTTTAGTGCTAAAACCTGTCTATTCGTATCGCTAAGGGTAGTTATTTGAGTTATGATATACCGTGGTACAACGAGAGATTCATAGAAAGAGCGCCTAGCTAGGCCTTGTAAAGATGCTTGCGCTATTCCAGGACTTTCGTCTTCTGTGATAGTTCACGTTCTCTTTTTTTCTGGTTTCATCCGAACTATCGAATCATCAATCCATATCAAAGATTGAATATCGAAAATCACACCATTCTATTGCCGGAGGATTTGTCACATACAACCGCCAATCCATTCCTTTTTATCCTCCGAATGTCACACGCAAAGACAAGATCCAACCTCCAGACCAATTCCTGCCGATACAGTAGAATTACAGAGGTTAGTATGCTATTCATTGTGTTCTCACCATATCGTTCATTTGAGGGACGTGGGGTTAGATGACTACTGACTAACTTGACCTCAAAGTACATCAAGCTCAGTCATCTGTTATTTCCATCGTTTGTCTCGAAATCTCATTACCAAAGCCTCCTCAAACATTGGCATCATGATCACAGATACAAACTCCAGCGATGTTTGCAAGGCGCCATTTGAGGTACCAGCTTGTGAATTCTATAAGTAGGTTGAAAAAAATTCCGTCATAGCATTACCTTGCTGATTCTGTGCAGACGAAGCGCGCTTTTCCATGGCGGAGATATGGTCAAGGTCATTTCAGGGCATTCCAAAGGCGAGTCGGGCAATAAAGAACGATTAGTGCCTCGCACCGTTCTTTGCTATTATTCGAAAGTTTGTGAGGAGAAACTCAGCTTGTTTCGAAATGAAAGTGGCGGAGACTCCGTCAATGCCAGTGATCAAAGCCACAATAATGCGGTACTGGACTTGAATGAGTGGGATGTCGAGACTTTCGATATGGCGCTTCAGTGGATGTATACTGGCAATGTCGTCATCAATCTCGCGAAACCCAAACCTTTTGAAGCAATCCGATTGTATATTCAGTTTTTCAAGATTGCAAAGGCGTTGAAACTCAAGGGCTCTTATTCAAATGTAGAAAAAGCCCTCATAGCTGAACTTGCCGCCACATCGGAAAAAGAATTTGATGAAGACGACAAGGATAAGAACGAGAAGTCATCGATTATAAGCCCCGCGTTTAAGGAAATACTGAAAGATGCATTTGCATATACCATTGAGGGACGAACCCGAGAGCTCCTGGCGAGCTTTTTGCTCAAACCGTACGTAAAGCACTTATTGTGCTCTGATACAGATGCGACAAAGACAAAGGAGTTCAAGGAGCTATTTCAAGAAATCGAAGGTCTTGAATTAGATGTCCTGAAATTGGTCGGCAGATCGCTGAGTGGTCTTTCGATGGGTAAATTGGACAGCAATGGGTATTTGAAATCGACGATGTGATGTCCGTTGACGGAATTGAGATTTGATACGGGCAGTATGTATAAGGTCGGACCATTTGTGAAGAGGGCGAAGTCGGGTGATACTTGAGTCTTGTGAGTTTTGATTATGGGGGTGGTACTTCGGCGGCTTTGGGAGAGCGTTGATGGCATTTGAGGATAGGGATTGAGATATCCTATGTCCATCGCTCATTGTGGCTTACTTGCGTTTTATTACACGTTGATTTTACATGGACTTCCGCCTTGGAGTAGGGCTGCGAGTGTATCTTATGCAATGAGTCTTTGTGATAGTTCTCGATATCTTACAGGATAGGGGCTTAATTTACTTCAAGATTGTTCATATTGTTGGCAGGAGTGCCAATGGACCCTTTACCACAGTTTTTGTCGCCATTCAAGAGAACTCCACTGAGGAAAGGATATGATTTCAAAAATCACCTGTATCATTGCAATGTTACAGGTTCTAAACTTGTCTATAGTGGATCCATTATTGTACTACTATTCGTATCGGACTCATCGACAAGGTCGAAATCTCAATGTATAATATGATCTTCTCCGACCCTCTACTTGGTCAGATTTCACCACTAGTCTAGTTGCGGTCTTACTATCTCGTCATTTATACGAGAAGGCGATAATACTCTTTGCTGGATTGCTCGTATGAATAAACGCTTTGAGACTGTAAGTGCTCAGCCAAAATGTATAAATCGCCAAATATTAGCCCAGTAAACTCAGCTACAGTCAATGGTCGAGAAAATAGTCAAGGCAGGAAGCATAAATTGAAGATGCTGAGCAGTCACAGAACCAAACCTTCTTCTCACATCTGTCATTTTAATCGCAGCCCCAAGAGATTGGTGCAAAACACTCCGTCCTCTTATATTCAAGGTGTTCGTTGGATTTGAACGTTCTTTGCCTCTTTCCGTAACATTTCGACATCGCAACAGAGGCAATGGTATTACCTAATTCATATGAAGGGTACAATGTGTATATTTCTTTATGGTCAATATGACGAGAAGGAAGAACGGACGTAAGAGCAGATCAAAATCTCTAGATATATTATCTCCATCTTGTCTTATCTGATTACCAGTAATTTTGTTGCAGTTCTTCCGTTTGCTACTTATCGATCATCAAATGAACAAACGAATTCGATAATTCTTAATTTGTTCACAACACAATAATGCCGCAACTCTCTTCACTAGATTTAATATACCGAATAAGAGCTTGTATTTCATGGAGGCTCTAGTAGTCAGACTTATCTCAAATCCACGTTCAGGTGTTCAAGTGTTGCGTCCAGTGAATCAAGGTCGTCGCTTCCTCTTTTGTAAATCGCGCTAAGGGTCTTACATTCAAAGAAGGTGAACTTTGGAGAGATTACCAATTCTCTCGAAATCAAAGTCCAAGTTTTACGACTTTCTCGGGGAAAACGTCTATACGATGAACAACTCCGAGATTCCAGTCTTTGATCGCAGATCAGTTCTTCCCACTCCAAGTAGCCTTTTCAATACAGCTGAGGTGTGTAACAAAACACAAGATATATGCGACAATCAGCCTGGGCCATCAGATTCGACGCCTCTTATAAGTTCAACTAGTACTTTACCGGATTCTTTTTCTAATCACTCTACCAAATCAAGTCATACAATTGCAACTTACCACCGTGCTGCATCCAGGATGTTGGGTTCTCCCACCGAATTCAACCCTGCCAAGAACAACAGTCAGGAGAATATTGCCTCGACTGTCAACAAATCGAGTTCTGACGGCCCAGCCACTAATCGAAGCCCTCTAGCAACAGTAGCGCCACCTGCAATGAGCACTCCATTGTTCACATCTCCTGCGAGACAGCACCTGCTACACCGACGAGGTCTAACTTGTTTCGCTCTAGCACAGTCGGTCCCACCTTCGAATCGTTTAGATACAGAGCAGTCAGCAATGCTCCTAGCACTCAAGAAGTTCAATCTTCCGAGCCTCTATTCACTAATGGTAATTCTACTCCCAGAAAAGTTCAATGATGAAGATGATTTTGGAAACGTCCTGATAATTTCAAAGACTGACATCCTCTAGCCTCACATCAAACTCAAAGCGACACAGTTAATGCGCCACCCCAGAAGCGAGTCAAGACTAGCCATAATATCGTTGCTCAACTACCCGCCAATGAGTTCACAAACAGACTCAATTTGTTTCGCGGTCCTGAAGTTCTTGTCACCGCTGGTATTCAGTTGGGGGTCAAAAGTTATCTTACCTAAAGCATTACTTGTTCAGGCTTCGCCATACTTCCAGACTACCATCGTAGTTGAAACATTGGGTCAAATCACACGAGAAACTCTCAAAATCGAATGCTCAACCTTAGCCTTTGATTTTGTTGTTCAATATCTTTACACTGGTACTTTTGTTCGCCCGGATATTACAGGCTTAGTCCTGGGCCACAACAGATTGTAGGTCATGATGAGCGTCCACATGGGATGAAGCAATGTTAACTTCTCAAATTACATAGACAAATCTTATCGAATTTTACGAGTTGGTGGAGAAACTTAGTCTTGATATCTCGGATATGATCTTGGACAACATCAAAGAGCTGCTTATGATAAGTCGTCTCTATCTTCAAGCAGAACACATTCGCAAAGTTGCCAGTTTTTCGAACGGACAAACACTACAAATGTTGTTTGCTCGCTCATGTATCAAAGCCTACCTTCAGTCTGTCAACCCTACTTATGTGCAAGCCCAGGAATTCCGTCTTCAGAAAGAGCTCGACGTATTAGATGGATTTGCGGCGGATCTCATGCGTGTGTATCGAGAAGTGGCAGACAAACGTACACCTTGCATATTCGCCGAATCGTGTGATCTTCTTGATGGCAATAAGTTCTCTTATTGAGTGAACGATAAAGTGAGGCGCAGAAGTTGCAGTAGTGGCTATGTCGTGTAACTTATAACATAGGGGCTTTGTTGCATTAACACACTTTGAGCTCTCCGGCTTATTATTACAATTAGCGATCGGATGGTAGTTGTAGATTCTTAAGATATACGCTGCTAACGCACTTCTTTTAAAGCAAAGTGTCACGGGTCTGAGAATGAGATATTTGATCAAAGACTTCCTAATGTAATTAAGACCTATGTGAAGATTGATCACATGACTTTCTATTCGTCATTCACGAGATAAGAGTCTAGACATAATAGTTAGTGATAGGAAACCTTGAATCTAAAAGGACCTCCAGGCTTAGGTAGAGGTGATCTTCCAGATTGTTACCCTTTCTAGATTAATATGTACTATTACTCACTTATAAAAAACCTATCTCCTATCTAAAACTATAGTTTGTTATACTAGAAAAAACTATAGAGTTACTAGAATATTAAAGATTATATAGAGATAAGTATATGTCCGGGGTTGATTGAAGTATATTATCAGTTTTACTTAGATTTTTAATATATATTGTATAATCTCCTACTCATTCTCTATCCGACGTATTTCCTATCATCATCATCGATCTGATAATAATTCCTAAGTTAAAAATTTTATATTTAAGATCTAAAAACAGTGTGGTATATTATAATGTATATCTATCAAAGGTTTAAAATAAATCTTAGGTATATCCCAGTTATATTAATTCATACAACCCACCGGCTGTTTATGATAGTAATAGGTATTAATTTCGTTGATGACAGTCGATATGATATCTTGGGAAGGCTTTCCCATGGAGATTCGTCTGGCGATTTTGGAGGAGTTGATACAGGGTGGTTGTAGCCTGGCTGACTTTGCCACAGGGTTACGAGAGTGGCAGGAGATCATCGAGGCTCACAACTTTTCCCGGATTATAAGCTAACGTCGGCACGCCTCGCTAATTTTGGTCAGATGCTTCATCGCAATAGGAGTCTCGTGCGCTACATTTGGCTTTGCTTGGAACTCCAAGAATATGATTGCAATGAATGTGATACTCACGATGCAGAGTTGTTCAGCATAAAGCAACATAAACAATACCCTAATTACCACAGGAATCCTAAATCTCTTCACAACACTTAGCGTATGGGAACCAGGTAATAGCTTGCTACTAGATATCAGTGTTCACTCCCCCAGTGACTCGGAGCATTGGTTCAGATATCTGACCTTTGAGCCTGATGTTGCTTTCGATATGTTTGACCGGAATCCACACACAAAGACTTCGATGCCAGTCAGACCTACCGATCACCACCACGGATGGATTGCTGGTAGTCGAAATTCCATTCCATCCTTGGTCGCTGTCAAAAAAGTTTTTAGTGAAATCTTTTCCGTGTCACCATTTGATAGTCTAGAACAAGAAGATCAATGGTGGCAGCGATTGCCATTAGTTCCGGTAATAACAGGTATACTTCTCCGTCAACAGACCCGCCGACGATGGAGACCAACTACATTGATACATATGTTTGCTCGACTACTGATTATTCAATGTTTTGAATGTTTTGAATCTTTTTAATCTTTGTAATGACTCTAATTTTTCTAACTATTTTAATCATTCCAATCTTTCTAATCTTTTAAACTTATATAAAATCACTCTCCTCAAAGCTTATAGTCACCTTAATTATGCCCGAGCCAAATGTGAATTCGGTTGTTAGATCCATTAGCAATTCTTGAGAGCGAATCATGGGAAAACTGTAGTAGAAGAACAAGCTTCGAGAGCGACTCCAGCAGATCAATTGTTGAGGTAAAAATCATGTGGCATATCATTTTTGAGACGAGACGAAACGTATCAGGTAGGATTTCTCGTATGACACTGAATTAAAAATGAAAAGAACCTTGTTGGCCAAAGCATTCTTTGCTACTGCCATATACAATTAAGGTGAATTGTATTATTAGGTAACCTTAACAAGAAACTTTCTCTCTCATATTGAACTTCCATCTCAGAACAGAAACACCAATATACCTTGTTGGACACCTGTTTCGAAACTATTTCTAATGCTTTTCGGCGAGTTTGAATCAACTTCTTTTCAACTATTTGAGGACAAACAGATATCACACAATTTCCCCAAGAGTCTCATATCATATCAAGATCAAATGGGCATAATGGACAACGAGGTCTTTCATTTCGAGGATGATGATGACAGTTATCAATCCTCCAATGATGAGTACAGCGACGAGAATGAGAATGAACCATGGGAAACCCGCAGCAGAAGATCCACCAACCCAGAAGATCAAGCTTCCAGGGAATTTCCAGCAGATCAATTCTTAAGGTAAGTGTCATAAACATACCACCAGTGGATGCATGGATCCACGGGACACTCACTTCCCAACTTTCGAATTTTTGAGCAAATTCATTCTTCAGTTGTTTGGCATCAGAATTTACATTTTGATTGTTTCAAATTGATTCAACAATTGGGATAATTCTTAAGATATGAGATTTAATGTTCCCCCCAGTCACTCAAACTAACATGTCTTTCCTAGCAAAATCAATCTTCCCACCGGCCCCACCGTCAAGATCGTCGTCAACTCGAATGGCTCTAAACAGACTCTCATTTTACCAAGAAGTCTCCTCTGTACACGATCCCCCTTCTTCAACCTCGCTTTCAATAGTAGCACTCTCAAAGAATCCGCATCTCAATCCCAGGAACTCCAACTCCCCGAAACATCCATCGCGGAATTCGAACTCGTGATTCAATTTCTCTCCACAGATACCTTTACATTCCCCAACATCGTCATCGACTCCCAAGAAAAACTCACTCTCTACCTCCTCTTCTTCAAATCCTGCAATCAATTCTCCATCACCGGTCTCTCCCCCATCATCATCCGCTTTCGAAACTTCCTCCGCTGGTGTTCCGCCCGCGGCGAATTCCCCGCTCGTTCTCACATGCAAATCGCCATTTCACTCCCGGCTTCTCATGAGGCGCGTAAGCTGGCTGTCGCTGCCTGCGTAAAACCGTATGCGTGTTCGATTACTAAATCGAGCACGTGTTATGGACGCGCGCTGTTTCATCTGGAGAAGTATGTGGAGGAGGAGACGCAGTTTGCGGCGGATCTGTTCAGAGCGTATACGAAGGCTGTGAGGGGCGCGTTGGGGACTCATACGATTGTTGATCCGTTGACGGGGACGGATTATACGGTGAGTACGGGTGTGGCGTGTCAGCTAGAGAGGAGTAGGGGAGATAGATGCATAAATCATTTGGGGAAGTTCTAGAGGTGCAGAGGGATTTCTGGCTGAGAGAGTGGTGCGGAACGGGAGTTGAGGATTGCGGAATTTTTGCATGATTGATAAGGAGTTATTGGCGGTATTTAGGAGCTACGACGGATAGAAGATGGATATCTCACTTATCAGGAATGAATTAATGAATATAAACAATGCACTAACTATACTTTTGCTTGCTTTCTTCACCGTCTTGGCAAAACGAAGCTCCAAGAAAATCAAAAAAACTCTGAGAAATTCACTACCCAATCTCATCATTACCAACCGGCCCCACAAAAAAATCACCCAAAAGTCCCTCCAAAGCAACCAGCAAAATGGCAAAACTCTAGGACCGGACCCTAGAATCCCAATGAGCCAAATCGTTTTCTACGTTACCAGAACTTGCGTTGAGGTAGGTATTATATACGTTGTCACTGACGAAGCCCTGCCAGTGCAAGGTAGAGAGGCGGACATCATTCTTCGAGAATGACGAACCCTACCTGCTGCGCCATACGAGACGTGGGGGTGCTTGAAGATTGAAGCAGTTATTTGATATTATATCGGTAGCGAGGAGATGATTCTCGGGGTGGTGACTTTTTGGGCACGTGCCTATATGGTATTGAATGAATGTCCAGGTGGGTAGTAGGCATTGAAGATATTGTGAATGTATGTACCCAGTATGTGAAATATGCTGAGGATAATTTGGATTGTGCAGCGTGGAATTATACTGAACTTGCAATGATCGCAGGTACATTTGCTTTGCATATTATCCTGCATTACTTTGCACGCGACTATCTACACAGCAGTTGAGCGGACTCTTTCCATCTCATTAATTACTGTCGCCAGCACAGATGCGCATACGCGACTCGCACTTGCACTTGCAGGCTCGATATGGGATCCAAGGTCATGAATCAGCTACGCAGTTCAATATCGTCATTCCACGCTGTCTGCCAAAGTAAAGGCAGCATGCATGATTTCATGTTATTTTTTTTTAGCATCCAACAGACGTATACGGAAATGAGAAATACACGTCGTGATGAATGTGGATAATCTTTGCGTGTCGGTGGACGCAGATCTAAATTCTCCTTACAAGCACCCATTTTTAGGCCCGCGTGTTTGCAGGCCCATAGCCAGGTATTCGATGCGCGAGAAACCGGATTTTGATCAATGCGCTTCAGGCAGTGTTGTTATCTGAATCAAGAAACTTTTTGGTGCTGCTTTGGTAGAGAATGTCTCACAGAGTGCACTTGCAGTATCTGTATTCTGGTATTTCAGCATGCGAGTTAAAAGTGGTCGGCGGTAGAGTCCAGTACCAACAACACGCTCGCATGTAGCAATCTCGCGCCTGTCAAAACCCATGATGATTGTCTGGAAAACATCCACTTCCGCGCTTGAATAAAGTTCTGAAGCATACTACTGTTCCAGAATACAGTTTCGACAACGGTTTCGCATCTGCTGCCTACCAAACGAGTCCACAATCAATATCAGAAGGCTCGGAACTGGCGAGACAGATCCTCCGGGAGGAAACCCGAGTCAAATACCCCCGAAGATCAGGCTCTAGAAAGTTCTTGGCTCTAATCTAGAACGCATTTCGTTTCCATTTCCAACCAAAGCTTCGAATCCTTCGAACCCAAACGTCACTAGAGTATTGATGGAAGGCCTTGCACGCAAGGCTGGGATTCGCCTAAAATTTCTGCGTCTTTGATCCTTCCAACGAACCGTGAGGCTGGAAGTGGAGTCGGACAGCCATGTCACCTTATATTTGCTAATCTTTTGAGCCGCCGCGCACGAGCATTGGCAATTTGCTTGGCTTGTTCACGACAAAGGGGAGCTTACCCCCGCAGATGGTCAAGCTTTCAGGGTGGGGGCCTGTAAGGCCCAGGAAATTTTGATGACCGGGTTGGCTTGGGCGAAAACTGCATGTAATTTTCCAGCTGAGGTATCAAGTAGAGCTTTCCTGATGCAAAACCACCCGGATTTGGCTGGAAAGTTCATGTAATAAGCCGAGCCAAGTTTTCCTTAAAGCAATTGAAGCAAGTGCTTGAAAAAAGCATCTTCGTGTTGATAACGAAAATTTCTTCCTTGCTGCTGTGAAAGGAATGACATATGCAGTGAAATGGAGAAGGTGGCCGCATCATAGGCGACCATCCCCAATGCCAGCACCCATTCTCAGTACACTCGCATCCTTCTTCGGAACACCGAGCGACAAAACCCTGAGGCGGTCCCGAGTGAAGTCGAAACGAGCTCAAATGCGTTAGAGGCACGGGGAACCAACTACCGGAACATGTTTGCGACTCGTCTTCTCGGATTTACCTCTTTCATGCCTCTGTCTTCCGTGCAGAGCTCCACCAGCCCCGACATCCTACGTGTGTTCCGATGTGAATCATGGGATTCTTTCCTGAAGAGAACCTTGGTGCGAGAAACCACGTAACTTTCCCGCCGATCTTGTGATATATGTCATTTGTGCAAATTGTGCTTCGGCGAAGCCGGGTGGATTCGATTGTGATGTGATCGAGTCACAAATTCACAATATCGGCAGTGGCAGTGAAGAGGTAACGGTTGACGGTACGACTAGGAGTTTTATTGTGGAACCGGTTCGCGGAGTGAGCCAATATTAGACCAGATGGATCGATGGTAATGTTGATTTCCGATGCCATACCTAATATTTTTTCGAGGGTTTGTTTCAGTGTAACCTACGTGAGATGTTTAGAGGTTGTGGAGAACCGAGAATCCTGATTTCATTCGATGGGATATTGGATAGGCTTTCGCCTGTGATACACTATATCTGTTTAGTATCATAGTATGGCATATCCCCACGTTTGGGTTTTTAGTTCGAAGCTAGATGTTCTGATATCTCATTATCTGATCCGTTTGGTCGAAGAGAAAGAATTAGATCATCATCTCAAACTTTGAAGAGACGTGACGAATGTCCTAACGAAAACTTAGACAAATTGTGATGTAAGCAATTACGACGCAAACAAGGCTCCCAAGTGCCAATGTCCCTAAGACTTCGAGGCTCTCTCGGAAAAATACACTGACGAATATACAGTCCGATGTAAGCTAATACGCCTCAAGGCATCCGAATCCCAAGTATTTTGAGGCTCTTTTCCATGGCCATAATTGGTATGCATCCGTGTCTTGCATTAATTCACGGGTGCAAATTAGTAATATTAGGCCTTATCTCAAACCATGGAGTTTCTTCCTCATTCAATATTCTGTGCCTCAGTGACCAACTTCATGGGACTGCAGATGACCATTGACTTAACACTGCCATACGGCTACTCCGATGTTTCCAAACAATCTCAGTATTCCTCCAACAGTGTTGTGTTGAAAGGAATGATACAGTAAACATTCACTAATCCCATCCAACAACCTCCTTCCTATTAACGGTATTTCCGGACTTCATCAAATGAATCCCAAATCGAAGTACACGACGATGAGAATGATGAAGTAATGAACATCTCCAATCCATACACAATACGAAGAACAATTTCTCACCCAGAAACACATCCTCGTCTCTCCCAACTCCTCTTCCCTTCCTCCCATGAGAAATCTAAACCCCTCCATCCTATCCCCCAACTCCCCTGGTTTCCCAACTCTAGCTTCTCATCCAATCACCACTCTCCCTTCGTATATCCAGCATCCAATCCCCCGCCAAAAACTCCACATGTTTTCTTCCTCAGCGCTTAAGGCCATTCCCCATTGCCTCAGCACCAATCAATAAGCACCCACTCGTAAAAGCATGCCACAGACCCACACAGCACACCCTTATCCGTTCCCTGTCCCTGTCTCCCTCCAATCATCCATGCAGAGATTCCCCATTCATCTAAAATCTCCGATCTGGCGGCGCTTAGATCCCTGTCTTGTGGCATCGTTCTTCCAATTTCCCTTCTTGTGTATCCAATAGCTTATCCGAGTTGGGAGATGCCACAGGCAAGTCGGACGGTCTTTTCCCGCTTCCCGTTAGTGCATCGATGCTGCTTTGTGCGCTTTCTCCCTCAGTGCCGTTTGTTTGGTTTTGCCCTCATCCATCGAGTATTCAAAATAGAATTTCGTGGTGCGTGCCGCATATGATGGATGATACCCGTATGGGAGGCATGTCATACAGTACAGTGAGACACGATTATCTAATTTTGGTAAATGTAACCTCCTCTGAACATCCCCCTCAGTTCCAGAACGTCAGGTATGGAGGAGTACACGAATGCTACAAAGCTATCGATATGTATTTCTTTTCACGACAATAATAGCTAGGGATTCATCAAGGAGTCCGCGAAGGAAGATTATGCTTATTTTCCCCCTCCCTCGAAGCCGACCAGCCTACAAATCGGGTTGTATATTCCGTAGAGATTTCTCAACGTTCCATGTGCTTATTACACTGCTTCTATTGTGTCCATAGGTAGCTTACAGTCTAGGAAGGAAGTTAGTTATCGATAGCACCTTAATCAGCCATGCAAGTATTCTTTTGATTAATGGAGCCTTTCCAAGCAAGCGTGACACGCTTCATCTTTGTCACTTTGTGGCTTGGACGGCCGGTGATATACGAAATATAGCTTAATCCATTCATGCAGCCATGTTCCCTATTCTGTGAGAAAGTATGAAATATTTCCGAGAAACATGTCACATACATACATACATCACCGGTACTGAGTGGATTCACGGGGTGCATTTACGCTGTGGGAATCACATCGGTACTTGGTTTTGGGGCGTGATATCTATCTACTGCGGCGAATGCACGGCGGGGAATGATTGATTGATTATCTCTTTATGTGATGGGTCTTGGTGATGTGATTATGCGTGCTGCGTGATTAATTGATGCGATGAACATTGAAATTTTCTGACTGCATGTGCAACGAAATTGAATAGTGAGAACTTAAAAGTGTGATTAATTTGGATTTTGATATTGATGTTATTGATAGATGTGTACGTTATTATTCACACGTAAGAAAAAGTGAGCTTCGGAAGTTGTATTTACGAATGGCATGCGGTCCGGTAGATCATAAATTTAGATCAAGATGAAGGATGGAATGGAGGTCTGAAATAAGTAATGAATTGCATAATCATTTTGTACTTAGAGGTGGTGGATATATTCACGGAAATATTAGTGTGTAGTAGTGTAGTGTGATATAATATTGTTTTTTGTATTCATTGGAGAGCTTTTACGGAACACTCCACTATAGCTTCATCTCACCACTCCTCCTCTTCCCCTGACCCTAGATTCTTCCCCTCTCCAAAGGTTCTTTCTCAGCACCTAGGAAGTATCCATTCACTCAGACATGCCCGTGAAACGCCGATATACAAAATTATACGCCAACAGCCAGCAATTAAGTCCCGTCCTCCTCAATGAAAAAAAAAACCCCCTTATCCTCCACTCCTACTCCTGTACTTCCCAAAGTCCAAGCAAACCTCCCAAAATGCAATAGTCAGCCCGCTTGTTAACACCAAAGCCGTGCTATGAATGATGTCCACTCCGGAACTCCAGATGAGACTCCAGGCTATAATCGCCGAGCTCGCACATTTTCCTCCCTAAACAAGACACGACGGTGCCATTATTGTCGCAATCAAGAAATGAAGCCATAAAGTCGTTAAAATATAAGATGATTTTGTTGGTTGAACGGCGGTGACAAAAGAAATATGTTATAATGAGTAGTGATGTAGATGTATGTAGTTCTAAAGGAATGTATTGGTATAGGAAATGCGATTGATAGAATGTCGAAATGAGGGGTAATATATTGGTATGAAACATTTACTCCACATGATGGTCGACTTTCCTTCTCTTGCCCTTGGGTGCGGGGCTCATTCGAGGTGTATATGTGACTGTTCGGGTGACAACTTCCCTGACTTGACGAACGCTTGACCGTGTTTGTTTCTGTGGTTTGATATCAAAATATCTACCCTTGGCTCTAAGATCCCAATCATATGGCGAACGTGCGCTTCGTGCACTGAAGGGAGAGCGTGCGCTTAAGGGAGATTCAGCGTATGAAGATGCTGGTGAAGCTGGAATGCGAAGACGTCCCAGGATTGCAGATGATGGCGCGGATGTTGGGTAGCTGAATGGAGTAGGAGGAACAGAAGTGGCTGGCGACTTATGTGCATCGCAATTGCATGAACAGTCACTACTTTCACTGCTAGTCAAAGACTCTGACGAGGGTGCAGATGTAGGTGTTGGCCTCGAACACTTAATCTCTGTAACGATGGGGCTGTTCATAGTCTTGAGGAAATCGGTATATGCAAGAGGAGGGGTAATGGGAGTCTTGATAGAGTCTTCTTGTTTGATGATGAAGTCGGCATAGCCAGGGAGTGGGCTACGTGCGGAATTTGATAGAGCTGATAGCTCCGAAGGAAAAGTTGAAGACATTGGAGTCTTGAGTTGGGGAAGCTTGGGTTTGGTGGTAGACATTGACCTTTTAGGTGGAGGAAGAATAGGTGCGCTCACGGCTGCGGGAGCAGAGGCTTTGATTGGGGATTCCATTATTTGTAAAGAATGACGAAGTAGACAGAAGGGTCCAAAGGTGTGCAAGCAGCGACGACGGTAGGGTTCGAGATCCGTGAAGAAAGAAGGGTAGAAGTTGAGACGTTTTGGGTCTTGGGGAAGTATTATAATATGAATTTCGAAACGATGTTTCCCCCAGTAGCTGAAGCAAGGTAAGGAAGGTGGAAGGGTATGGTAACGGAAGAGATAGCGCCAAAAGGGACAGGGTTTATCTGTACTGACGAATTTAGTATCCAGTACTAAGTCAGAGTAGGGCGCTTGGGGATTTTGGCAATGAGCGTAATTGATGATGTTGGCCGCCTTGGTGGAGGCCTTTGACAAGGCAAGGTGGTAGAGGATGTGGGTCGTAGGTAAGACAAGGGACGGAGGGGGATTAGGAAAGCAGCTAATAAGCTAATAACTTTTGATTTTATTTAGATCTGGATTCTTATTCGATCGCGTTGCCGTTGCCGTTTGATTTATTTGGGACTTTTCCAAGATGTCTGGAACATCCAATAATGTGCTAGGTAGAGGATCCTGTTGTTCAACGTGGAAGGGAGCAATACCTAGGTACCTACCTACTAGGTAGTGGAAAATACTAGGAACTTTGTACACAAGCAATAAAAGTTCCGATATGTAAAGGCGGCGATGCGTGAGGTGTGAAGCCGTTTGTTTTCTTTTCTGGAAGCGATAAAAAAATAAAGTGACTTGGAGCTTGGGTTGATTTGGGTGATTGTTTTATATTGCACTTGGTCCGAGGGTTGTGATGACTAGGAAGAAGTTCCACGACCAGGCCAGGGTAGATGGAAGGTGTTAATTGAGCAAGCAGATCGTCTAGTTGGAGATGAGTCTTGACTAGGAATCCGCATGTGAGTCTATGAGACTGGAGTAAGAAATGCTTGCTAATTAGCTCGCGAAGGAATAGAGTGTCGGTATGTAATCGAGAAAAAAAAATGTATGTAATATAATAATTATCCTTAATTATTCATGCGAGGTAGGTATGCGAGTAGACGACCTAGGGAAGGGAAGGGAAGGTATGCGGAGCGATGGTGGCAGTGAAGTGTGGTAGGAGTATGTAATCTTATTACAAGGGAACTTCAATACAACCTTCTAGCTGATAGGATGATATTGAGATGTTGTGACTTCTAATGGTGGCGTCGCTTTCGAAGGTTGTTGTTCTATCTATCCTACACGGTCGGAGAACCAATATCGACCGACACCGACAAAGCTATGTATCAACCCTAAGACGTGATTCGCGTTTTGAGTTTGGCGTTTTGGGTGAACTGCAGGAGAAAAAAACCTGAGCAACCTGAGCGGTTGGAGCTGAATTTAATTTGATTGGCTCCGCTCAAATGGGGGTCTCCTCGTGAGTATAGGCTATAAGCTATACTTAGAGCGGATGTCACGAACGTGTTCGGGCGTCAAAAGTATGGCTTTTGATTCGGTGAAGGGTCGATTGATCTAATGATTGGTGCTTTGTCCGGCAGGTGTGCGATAGTGATATTGGGCAGAATTGCTTTTCATTTGATATTAATGATGGACAAGATTCAACACCAATGTGAAAATGGGGGCTAAGTATAGGGGTGAGAAGGGGGCCGGTAGAGCCAGTATTGTGGTTGTCAAAGTGTGTTCACGAGTGAGGGTTTCTGTGAAAGCTGATACAATTGAGAATAGAGAGGAGAAAGGTCGAATTGAATGAACAGATAATTTCAATATTGGGATCAACGTTCTCATTTTGTAATGTGTTCTTACCGCTCCATTGTTTCCTCAATATCACAATGGACGCGCGCAACCAGACAGAACCCTTAGAATTCAATATTCAAAAATATCGCATGTCGCATGGTCGAATCATCAGTATTAGGAAAAAATATCTTCAATTGACAGCCTTACAATTTGGGCTCTTTCCGCGCGCCTGAAGGCTACCAGGGATAAATGGAGCCGCCAGCCACGAGCTTTTCTCAACAGTTGTTCAGAAAGTGGCTCAAAACACTGACATGAGTGGCTACCGTATCACTCGGGGTTCAATCTCATGACCCGAGTCGATACAGCAGCGCGCGGTTCGGACCAAGTCCACAAAGGCGGGGTATCTGATTCGAATGGGAAGATGTCACGATTTTAGTTTCTCGAAGACGGCGATACAACGGCCTGTCAAGACTTACGATTCGCAATCCATGCGCCCACACTTATTTGTCTACCCTATCCTTCTTTAGAGCGCTCAACCTCGTGCATTCAGGGATTCTAACAGGCTTAACATGTAGCTTAAACAGTGCTCCTCTGTGGCACATATGGCAGACAGATCAATACTACGGGTTGATAGATCGTATGCGATATGAATTGCATTGGTCAATTGATGGTCAAGGAACTATCCGCAACATGATTAGATGGCCTCAATGCGGCCAGCGTCAATCTTGAGCATCATCATGTCTCAGGTTTGAGTGATCATACGGATCAGTATCTCGTGTGAGTTCTCCTATTCTAGTTTGCTTGTAGTCAAGCGGAATCCATATAGAATTATTGCAGCATGAGTAAGATAGGATCAATCTATTGTCTTGCTGGGATATTCGGAACGGGGCGTAGGATTTAGTGAGATCTAGCAGTGGGATCTGAATGTGTCAGTACGCCCTCAATTTTGCCAAGTGTTGATACCAAGTGTGATCAAGAGATGACATGGCAAGTAATCGCCGTGTTCATCAAGGCTCCCAGAGAGGCAATATTCTCTGCTTTGGTGCCATCACAACAACTCATCCAGGTGTTGTGATCTCATCTGCCAATAATAATTTACGAGCCGCCCTTATTAGGGTGTGAAAATCCCGATGCTCCACTCATGCAAGTGATTTTCACCATCATTGACGCTCTGATGATGACGCCTTGTAGCAAAGTTAATGATTAATATTCCGAGGAAACAAACGTGGGATGCTGGCACATGTGATAAACTACTACCCCGTGCTAGGCTTATCTTTGTAACCAGAACGAAGACCTCTCCCCATTCGGAGCACAATTAGATCATGCGAAATCCCAATTAGTGACAACGAGGGGTAACTACCAACTCTCATGATCCTTCAAAGTCTATTGAGACCTTCTTTTGATCTCATGAGGAACATCCTGAGTGTGGGCTATTGAGGCCACAAAAATAGTTTCATGTGCACGGGTCGCACTCGGGTTCTGATGGAATCGCTCACTCCTTCGATAGATCTCCAGTATCTGACCCGAAAAGCATGATAACATAGGTTTCGTATGACTCAGAGCCTCGCTGAATAATCCGCATGAAACAGAACTATGAAGCTCGTAGTTTCGAATCCTTTCACGATAAATCTATCGTGAAATCCCTTCGACTCTTTTATTAGATAGTCCATTGCGCCGGATTGAAGTTTCTCGTTGACTTCTAGGTGGAGGATCTGTCGATGAAAGGTATGATAAGATTGGTTGGAATGTTCATCCGTCCCTCCATTCATCCATAACGTGCTTTACGTGGAAATCGTAAGACAAATGGATTCCCATCCAAGACGAATGAGTATTTGAGTATTTAGGTTCAAACCTATCACCACAGGCTGAAATGTCAAACGATGATCTATCGCGTCTTTGGATTTAATCACTTGATGAGACTTCACTGCTTTTCGTTAGGGAAATCAGAAATTTGCCTCCTGGGTAAGCGGGATACTTTATGTTGTTTGATTGCTATACGGAGTCGTACGTTTCTAGATCAGCACAGATGCTACTCTAATGTATGATTAATATGCCAACGTGTTAATCTCCTGGTCAACATCTCAGTTTTCTTTGGTGGTATCCATCCTGTAGGTTCTGATTGAACAGACAAACGATTTCGCTTGGCCGCAAGAGGATACACGAGGAGCTTAGTCGAACGGTGAGAGCTACTATGGTACATTTAACCGGCGCCACCCGACATTTTGTGGATATAGCCTAAATCACCCTGGTAAACAGATGGCAAACCATCGCAAATTACATCTACCTAGGTAACTATCCTAAAATGCGGGGCATTATGGAGAAACCTGGGGAATAGTGTGGTCAAAAAAACTTTGATTTGTTGGTGAGGAGTCCTCAGACCAGGATAAATGCTTGAACTTTACCATATTAGGCCTTTTGTCCATCCCACTTCTACTGGCGAGACCTCGACAGCTGATATCTGAAGATGTATATTGCTTACCGACAGAGCGTTCGAGGTAGTCTTAGTACATATATCATACAGGCTATATGCGGACCGTGGCTCCGTACGGCCGGTCTGGAAGAGGTGCAGACTGGGCACCGGTTAATAAGATGGATAAAATGAATATGGGGTGCTCAGATGGCAGATGTATATAATCCCATGTTTCCCCAGTCGAGAATGTAGGACAAAACATTGTGGTGGATTCGTTGATTCTCCTCGATCTACATTTGTGGTTTATATCTTGAGGCAACGCAGATTTTGTTACTGCAGTCAAGATGGATTTCCAACGTACTAAATCTACCTTCGAGCTTGCGGGCCAGGAGTTCCCTCGAGTAACATGGTATACGCAAAAGGGAATGAGAGGCTTGTACTGTTGTTTGATGTTCGTTGTTTTGACCTCTGCAACAAATGGATATGATGGTTCCATGATGAACGGTCTTCAATCCCTCCCCGCCTGGGAAGCTTGTGAGTGTTTCTGTGATGAATTGTCCTATCTTGTTATCTGAAACTTACGATTGCCTTAGATTTCCATCCCACGGCCTCTCAACTCGGACTTCTCAACTGTATTATGTCGGTCGGCTCACTTGTCGCCCTTCCCTTCGTGCCATACGCTGCAGATATATTGGGCAGACGTACAGGTGTCATGATCGGTTGCACAATCATGATCGTCGGTGTACTGCTACAAAGTTTGGGATATACCTTCGGCTTGTTTGTAGGCGCTCGATTTTTGATTGGTTTCGGAGTCGCAATCGCACATGGTGCATCACCATTGCTCATCACTGAGCTTGTCCATCCACAACATCGAGCTATCTACACCACCATTTACAACACTACATGGTACATCGGAAGTTTTGTTGCTGCTTGGTTAACATTTGGTATGAAACACGTTTACTAGAGCTTTTTGAATTTTTAGCTAATGTAATCCCTAGGAACAAACAATATTGCAGGAAATTGGTCATGGAGAGCTCCATCCGTCGTACAGGCTTTTCCATCCCTCCTCCAAATGACTTTCATATGGTAAGCTCCTAATCAAGATCTTTAGTTTAAGAAGAAGCTAATTCAGGTCAAGGTTCGTCCCCGAATCACCAAGATGGCTCATTGCAAAAGGCAGAAATGAGCAAGCCCTCAAGATCTTGGCAGACGTACATGCTTCTGGAGACCAACACGACGAAGTTGTGCAGCTCGAATACCAGGAAATTCGCCAAACACTATTACTTGAGAGAGAAGTAGAGGGAAACCCATGGGCCGAGCTCTGGAAGACTCCAGGAAACAGACATCGTCTTATTATTCTCGTATCTCTTGGATTCTTTTCCCAATGGTCAGGAAACGGTCTTGTCAGGTGAGTTACTACCAGTCAAAAATATTTGAAATTGAAAATTAACATCAAATTTAGTTACTACATTAACATTGTCCTGGAACAAATCGGTATCAAAAGCTCAACTACCAAACTTTTGATCAACGGTATCCTTCAAATTGTCAACATGATTGTTGCCACAGGAATGTGCTTTTTTGTCGATCGACTTGGTCGACGTCTATTGTTCTTGGTTTCCACAGCAGGAATGCTTGGTGTCTTCATCGTCTGGACAATATGTTCGGCTCAATTCTCGATGCACGGAAGCAAAGCTTCTGCAAATGCGGTAGTCGTCATGATCTTCCTCTACTACGTCTTCTACAATTGTGCGTGGTCGGGTCTTTTGGTTGGCTACAGTGTTGAGATCTTGCCATACAATATTCGTGCAAAGGTAATGGATTCCCCTGCTCTTTGCTGGCATCGCTAATTGAAATTATAGGGAATGACCATCATGTTCTTGGCCGTTGACCTCTCATTATTCTTCAACCAATATGTTAACCCAATCGCTCTGGACCATCTTCACTGGAAGTATTACATATTCTATTGCGTATGGTTGACCTTTGAGCTCTTTGTTGTCTGGAAGTTTTATATCGAGACACGAAACACTCCTTTGGAAGAGATCGTGAAGCATTTCGATGGAGACAATGCGCTCGTTGGTGGTCAAGCTGCGACCGAGAAAGCAAGAGTTATTGCCGCGGAACATGATCTGCAACTTGGTGCCGAGACTAGTAATGGTGGTTTGGACGAGAAGTCAGCTGCTCACCATACAGAAGAGAGGATCGTATGATTCCGATGTCGTTAAGGCAAGATGTAGACGGGGGTGTAAAGCTTAATAGAGCTAGATACGGTGACAGTAATTGGCGAAGACAAGTAGTTCCTTTAATATCCACTGAATTCTTTCCAATCCCTTTAGGCACGTTTCGTTATGATTGACAGCATGTATGCGTTGACGAGATCTGCTTTGCAAGCCCCACGTATCCGGGAAATCGACAAAGTCAAATATCTCCTTCGTGAGCCCATATAATCCTTGAAATCTGAAGAACTTTGCCGCCTACAAGTCATCAGGTAAAGGACGACTTGTCCTCAAAAAACTCATTTTGTCGTGGTGGGTAGGAGACAAGGAACCTCTCCTAATCCTAGGCCCATTCATACACGTATCCTTCTTAGTGCTTCTCTCCGTTATTTGACGAGCTTTTACCAGCGACCACGGATATCCCCGAATGTTCGCCTCCCGTAAATTGACCCCCAATACGAGCATTCTTGCTACGAATTCAGAGGCTAAGCTTTGCGATTCCGCGACTCAATAAACAACTTTAATTCTGTAGCCGCATCTCTGACAACGTCCTCCATCTCTTCTTTTGCTGTCAACAAAGGATAATATGCCGCGATCCCCTGCACGGTTAACCAAGTCCTATACTCACACATATTCGCCTTGCCTTTCACAGCCACCACTTCCTGGACTCTTTCTGACCCCAAAAGCCAACTGGGGTATTGAGTAGTCTTCGCGACCATCTTTCTGTGCACTGGGTCCAGCATGGTTAACGTAACAGGTACACAGCGATCCCGTATATCTTCGACCCGAAACTACACTTCGAATTAGATTTTATACAACGTTCTCCACAATGAGGATTATCTCACGGAATATATCCCCTTGGCGCCCACGACTGGTAATTTTTCCTGATCATGCTCAAATTGATATTGGGAATAACCACTTCCGTATCTTTTGGAAGAGGTTATTACACGGAAAACATCGTTTGCAGATGCATTGATCTTGACACTTGCATAGGTTGTAAAAACGGCATCGTCCTTTTTGATGGAAGGTGTAGCAATGAGACTTTTTTCATCAATGTGATTCTGAATGAGAAGCACAATGATGAAGAGTAAACATATGATAAGAAAGATAAGAAACCAGAAGAGGTAGACGGACATATCCATCATAATGGAGGGATAGTTTGGTGAATATAGAAATAGAAGATATATGAAGAGATCTTGAATGTAATGGATGTTCTGAATACAATGGATGGAGATTGAAGAATCTTCTTTGATACTTGTACCTCAAGAGAGAGCTCTATTTCCTGATTGAATTTTCATGTCATTACCTACTCATCCGTCATACCAAGATGATCCATCACTAATACAAAGAAAGTTCAGTCTGTGGACTTCATTAACTCTATTCGATGTATATATATATATATACCTACGTAGGTATTATTCGTTCGTACCGTACCGAGAGCGAAAATGTCAAATTTTGCCGGAGCATCGGAATTCAATCGTAACCCGTACAGGACATCCCAAACCATCCTAGCGGCTTCTTTATCCTACCTAGTCTCCACATGAGATTACCAGAGATTACCAGAGATTTAGCTCGCAATTGTAATTTATCATAATTAGTAAATTGTATTAAGAATCTTACAAGTTTACCTATACCTGCCTAGTATATGTGTTATCTTTGATTTTGTTAATATCTTCTTTCTGATTTGACATCTTGTATCTTTATATAAACTCAATCATCTATCGTCGTCGCATTCATATGCATCCATTCTTTCACTCGTGAGTTCTAGATCACATCTCTCATCTGATGTACAAGTCAAGCTTCAATTGAACCTTACTAGCTGGAGGTACTTAGTAACCACTTCATCACCCCACTATTGTATCAACCATAGCTAAGCCCAGCCCGCCTTAACAGATAAGATTATTACCATTACCATTACCATTACCATCCGTGGAACATTCGCACAATTCGAAATCATCCGAGAAACCATCCGCATCAATTCTTGAGATCCTCAATCCCCTCAGCAGCGCATACATAGCACTCACACATACACAAAATGGATACCTCGAAAGTCTCAATCTTCAAGACGTACGATAAACCTCGGGGTCAAGGAGGCGCGAGTTCATTCGCGACCTTCATGATCATCGGTCGTAAGTTTTCCCAAGAATACTCGATTGAGTAATACCCCAGTTGACACATTACAGCTGTATGCTTCTTCCTTGGGATTCTCTTTTCCTCATTCCCTTACGATTACCCTCTTCTCTGGACCACCGAAAGTACTCCTGATGCCTACTACACCTTCATCGAAGAGCATTTGAAATTCATGCATGCTTCTCCACCCATTATTCCACGTATCCTCCACATTGTCGTCTCAGTCGGATTCATTGGACTCTTCATTAAGCTTTTCAAGCCTTCAGAAGCTAATCTTCTCTTCGACGGCGCATCACTCGTTCTCTATGTCGTAGGTGTCGTGGTTTACATCACCAATATTGTCAAGGGTATGCGCATTGTGACACTCGGATTATATGGCGAGGCTGGTGCGCCAGAAGGAGAAGCAGGCGTAGGAAGAGAGGATAGTTTGAGGGTTTTGGCGGCCAGTAACACGATTTTAGCTTTGGTCTTGGTGGGCGTGTTGGTTTTGCAAGCGGGCCAATGGTATGCGGAGCGTAAGGATCAAGATGAGGCGGAGAAGTTTGAAAAGGAAGAGCAGGAGAAGAAGGAATTGGACAAGAAGCAGAGGAGCGGAAGTGGGCACGTAACGAGATCGGTTTCGAAGAAGAGACAGTGAGGGATGTCTCAATTGGAGGATTGTGTATCTATGGTGGATGGGGCACGAATTTATGTGTAGTAATATTCTTTGGTTCTTTTTACACGAAGATATCTATTCCCAATAAAAGCAAATACTCTTACCACCATCGAAAAGTCTCATGTCTACGTACCTATCTAATGTGATTTGTATCTTGAGCTTTGGCGAATCCTTATTAACTTACCAGGGCCCCTTTCATTACCTCCATCCCCTCACCCGCTCACATAAAACCAATTCAAATTATGCTAATTTAATATCCATTACTATCAACATCTCAACGACCTTCACTCGGCAAATCTATCTCAGATGTAATCAAATTCCTGTAACTCATCGATCGGTAATACTATTGAAGCGAGATTCAATTTCCAAATCCTTTTTAGATGTAAAACTCTAGATGTAAGAGCCCAGATGTAAAAGCACAGATGTAAGAGCCCAGACGTAGAACCCCGAATGTAAACTTAGAACTCCAGATGTTTGTGTCCCTTCCTGATATGAGATGGTATGCCTGTTTTCCCTTCCTTGTACGCGCCATGGTAGCCTTCGTGTAGAATTTGATTTAAATATAAAAGTAAACGAATAACCTCTTGAAAGGAGTTCAGACAGTTAAAAACGCAGAACCATGAGATCACGAGTCTAGATACCCATATCGTTCCTTGCAGATGTAGAACTCCGGATGTTTGTTTCCCTTCCTTGTATGCGCCGTAATGATTTTCGTGTAGAACCTGATGTAAATAGAAAAGTAAACGAGTAACATGTTGAACGAAATTCGCAAGTCGAGAATCTGAAAGGATGAGACGATAAGTCCAGTGAGCTGATATCGAAAGACATCATGATGTCTTTGACAGGCTGTTAGCAAGCGATAGCCACAGCCAAATTTTCAGCTTCCCAAACTCATGATATCTCTCAGGAACAAACCCACATGCAAACCAAAATTCTTACTCCCTCAGATCTCCCATCCTCCCTAAACCTCCCACAAAACACTCGTCTGAACATACAATCCAAAATCGATGCTATTGATCTGCATTCCCCTATCAATTCTCTCATGCATTAACCAAACCTTCGCCTGATTCTCATACTGTTTGAACTCTTTGTATCCCATACATCTGGCTTTTCCCTTTTCCATGCCCACAATCGTCCATTTCTTCTTCTCAAGCTCACGCGGCGGGAGACCCCGGTCTGATTTACACTGATTACTTCTTCCATATGCTCTCACTACCACAAATAAATGTTCGAGCTGAGGAAGACGATCCATAATTTTCTTGAACACATTGTCAAATTTGCGTTGAACTTCCTCTTTGGCCCATTGTTGGAGTTGCTCAGCGGTCATATGTTCAAAGCCGACAAGTGCTGGGTCATCAAGTGAGAGGTTGATACCAGCCGATCGAATGTTGTCGAAGAATTGAGGAAGTGCCAACGAAATAGGGAAAACTGGCTCGCCAGGCATTTGGAAATCGCTAATTGCTACGCCTCTAAATCCAGGGAATGGAAAGCTAGGAGGTATAACGCCTCCACCTGATGTGTGGTCGCACTGGCAGGGTCCGCCAGGATAATATCCTCCAGGATGATCTCCGTCAGGATCACATACGAGATAAGCAGGTGCAATAGTAGGAGGCACTCGAATCCTTCCCAGCTGTGTAATCATTAGCCAAAGGAATCAAGATGGAGTATGGTGAATACGTACCATATTACGAGTCCTTTCCAGATGCTCTTCTTCTTTGTTAAGCTTTCGTTCCTCAGCCCTCAATTCCTGTTGCAAATACTCCGAACTAAACTCTATGGGACAATAAGTCGGCGAGGGACAAGATGTCTCATCTCCGAATTTCAGGATAAAGTCGTCGCTGATGGGATTGACATAGAAATAAGGCTCGTTAATCTGTCGAGGGTCGGTGAAATTATGCGGAACTCCTTGCGCGTTAACAGCATAGAAATGGTCTCTGCCATATTCTCGTGCTTGCTGACATGCCTGCATAAAAGCTGGCGTAGAAGGATAATTTCGAAAGTCGAAGAAATCTTTTGAAAAATCCATAACGATGGTGCGCCTGATTTGAAGAGCACTAAAGTGCCAAATGCTCATTTGAATTTCTTCGGGTAAGTCTTTGAATTTTTCAAAGAACATGAGAGGTGGTCCGTCTTCTGTGAGCTCGATATTGGAGGCACCCATTGTCAGCCCTTCAACATTTGGTTCTCTTGAAGGGGAAAGAGCGAAACTCTGATTGTTTTCTTGGTTGTCAGAGAAGTCATCGAAGTCTTGGAAGGCACCGTAGTCTTCTTCCTCTTCTTCCTCCTCTCCTTGGTCACTATCAAAGGTATTAGAATCATCGGAGTCCTCATGATGAGAAGTCTCCCCAATCTTGTTGTCATTTGAGCTATCAAGCTCAGGGTTCGATATTTCAGTCATGCTTTCCGAAAATGATGTTTGTAAGGTGTAAAGTCAGCGAAATAGTGAATTTTGTTGTCTCTCAAATCAATGTATATGACTCTCTTCTGAAGATGCGAAGGTGAAAGTATTTATGAATTAAATTCTTTGGGGGAAAAGTTTAGCTAAATAGAATATGTGTCCTGTGAATTTGTTGAATATGTGAGTGTGTGTGGAACGAACTACTACGCAGCTAGATTTCGGCTGGGCTCGTAGTCCAAACTACTAGATAGCTAGTAACTTTTTGATTGTTCCCAACTTCCGATTGCGATGAACTTGGGGTTGAAGACGAAATTCAACATAAAAGTGCAGATAGATACGCCTTCTAATATGATTGTCAAGCTTTTGAGGAGTTTCCGCCTTCTCTTTCTGAGGTCTGGTACCTTTATAATTGGTAGAGTTAACCATTGATTCTATTAGTAACTCGATTTTCTTTCCTCCGATGATCATTCGAGGAGAGATTTGAAACGAGGGCTAAGAATGTAAGTATGTTCTGCCATATCCCAAGTGTCTTGGGATGCTTTACCCTATACGGGCACCAGAAGAGCATCATTATGTACATTTAATGAGAGTCACACAACGTCATCACCACTGTAAGAAGAGCATAGAAGCCCAGTACAACGAAAGGATAATAAGACTTATGGAAAATACTTCTTGATTCTATTCTACATCCTCTTTCTCTCATAGCCCAATAGAAACCTTGTCTCCCACCTTGATGATTGGAAATTGATGTTCTTTATGAGGTAACAACGAAGGAACATGACACATATGAGAACCAAAGAAAACCTTAGACTCGAACCTTCGTGTTTTTGCCAGCGTAACAAAAGGTTCTTCGTTCTTTTCAGCAGTATCCTGATCAACACATATCATATGACAACGCCTACAAGATCCTAGCATTTGATATGTTTCTGAACCAATGTGTAAAGTACTCCAATGATCTTCACTATACGGATGATGGCGATCGGTTAATTTGGTTGACGCTAGTACAATATTTGCTCGAAAGACAGAGGCTGAAGCAAGTTTACCTCCACTCTTAGCTATTTCTTCATTTAGCATATTGATACTGGATCGATTGATGGCAAGTATGGGACTCTCATTCGATAGAAGAATTGGGCGTTTTCGATTCTCACTATCGGAATCCGGTGGTGTTGGGGGATCGTGGAAGGAGTGAGTACTCGATTTCTCAATCGCGACCGAACGTTTTGGTCCTTGATGCTTTTGCATGTGCGCCTTTGCATGTCTCGAAGAAGGACCACTACCGCCAGCAGGAAATCTTGCCAAAACACAAGGTACCTCTAGGATCTTGGAGAAGAAATCATTAATTTCATGATTAGAGTAACTCTGTGCCGCGATAGCATCTCCACAGACCCTTGATGCCAATGAATGAATGTTATTTGGATTTTTGTAAAATGACGGGTCAGATGACAAAGAGACATTGATTTCATCCGTCAAATTAGGGAAGGTTGATCCTTGATACCGAACCTTCAGCAACCCCAGATCAAAATCGATTGTTGGTCTGATGAGAGCCATTCGAGGATAACGTTTTTGACTTAATGCTTGTCCAGTACCTTGATGAATAAGACACCATTCCCTATCCCAAGCAAGACCTTCGGGCCTAACTTCCCAAGCAGTTTCCTTCGGAATCTCAAAGCCACCACAACTTTTGATTGGATAAATTGTAAGACTTTCGACATACATGTCAACCGATTTGTGACTTTCGGTTTCCTCATCGGTGGATACAGCTGTGTGGTCCACAAAGAATTCATCCACAAATGAAAGAAACGACTCAACATCGCTCATCGTACTCATGGCTCCTAAGCTCACACGAATAACACCCGTTATTTTGCCCGCATAGATGTCGGTCTCTCCACCGCATCGTAGACCAGCCGAGAAATTTCTTTTCGTTTCCCATGGTTGAAGCTCCAGTGCTGATGCAACACCACCAGGATTACAAAGACCACCGGTTCGAATGTGGTAATTCCTTATCGAAGCCAACCTCTCAAACTCAACATTAGTCACCCACGCCCCGAAACTATTTTTGACGTTGAACGCTATTGTAGGTCCTTGTAATTTGGAGGAGGTTTCGGAGGAGAAGCCAGGGGAATAGATTATACAGACCGGTTCGGAGTTAGCATGCCATAGTGACTTCAGACCTTCGTACAATTTTTGTGCGAGAAATGTGGTGTGATTTGCAATACGTTCCATGGAACCATACAATGATTTGTGAACATCGATTGCCGCTTCCAGTGCCATGATGTCATGGAAAGGCAGAGTACCATCCTCTAGAGTTTCATGCAAGGACTGCCCTTTCGGAGCATGCCATTGCTCTTTCAGACACACTACTACTTCGACAGTTCCACCTCCAAAGTATTTTCTGGTTTGAAGGATCGCTCCAGATTCTCTACGCACTATCAATGCACCGAGATCAGGAAATCCAAATATCTTGTAGAAACTAAGGACCGTAAAATCAGGTGCCTTACGAATATCACTCAAGTCTAGTGGAGAAGTAGAAACTAGAGCAGAGGCATCTAATAATGTATATGTAGTTGCCTGGGTTTCATAATTAAGATTTCGGACTCTTTCTGGCCAAGACAGTGGTAGACGTCGACCATCTAAGTTTGATTGTGCTGGGTATGCGAAAAGGCCAATCTCAGAATCATCTACTTTTCTGACAAGAGGTTCTGATCCAGATAGCCAACACTCCACAGCGTCATCATCGAGACAACGACTTGACATGGCATCCTCTCGCACTCCAACGAGACTAGTATGCGAATCTTGATGGTATCCATACAAGAATCCATCTTCTTGGCCCCTGAAGGCGTCCATAACAAGTTTGATTCCAGCCGTGGCATTCGCCACAAACACAACATCGAAGTCTTCTGGATCGGCGTTAAAGAACCGCAAAACATTCAGACGGGTATTCTCGATGCGCGAAGTCGACAATTGCGAGGATGTGGAGGCGGAATGTGGATTTCCATATAAATTCGACATCATATCCACCATATATCTCTCCATGAGGGACTTCGAGTAGAGGGTTGTACCGGCATGATCAAGGTAAACGGCATCTGGAAATTCTATCAGCTTGGCACATATATATTTGGGAGAAAACTTACCTTTGAGCATGGGATATTCATGCTTCCTGAATCCTTCTACTGCTTTATTATACTCCATGTTATTTATACTTAGCTCAAACAACACATAAATTCACTGACAAATCTCACTTCCGGTGGAATCAAGGGGGATGTAAAATCGAAGTAAAAGACTTCCAGAAACTAATTTGACTGTTCATTCTCAACAACGCAACTAGTGAATATGATATTGTGACATATAATGCAATGAAATCCATGTTTTAGATCTCCCCGCATCAACAATGATAGGACAGCGGAGTTGGCCGCTTCATCAACATTCCCCTTCGGCTGAGCATCCATGCGTTCATCAAAGAAATACTGAAGCCTAAGGCACTCACAAAATTGCGGACTTTGCGGACCTCCATACAATTTTTTGGATCGCGAAATATCTCGTCGAGATTTGAAAGTCTATCACCCCTCCAAATATGTTTCGCTCGCGCTTTCCTAGGATAGGGCGCTCTGTGCAGAAGAACTTCTTCAGAAGTATTTCTCAGCATGTACCGCCATTGAAACATGATTTCACGAATGGCATTCCTGAATTCATTGGACCTCAAGCTTTCGAGCTTTCATGGACTTCATATCAAAAACTCATGGTGGACAAATTGAGTGATGCTATAGCCGGTGGGTTACTTCTTATCATTTGGGTTATTTTGCAATTGGTAGTCAAAACACTCAGTCTGCGAGGGTTTTTTGGTTACCTGGGAATACAAATTGCGTGGTTGCCTCTAAAACTACTGCTATGTATCCTGCGATACAACTTATAATTGCTGCTACATTCTTTACAAGACCCCTGTAACTGACAATTTAAAAGGAGTTCCCCATCTCGATGGAAAACAGCCCAAAGAAATCGCTCTCATGTGTGCGCGAGACCCAGACCAGGCGGCGACTTTCAACTATGCTTCTATGGCATTCAACAACAACTTCTTTTTCAACTGCCTCCAACCCAATCCCGCTAGCGAACCCATCATGTCAGAGAAACTCCGAGCCGCCATCGAGAACTCCTTTTCCTCAATCGATGGGCTCAAAAGGGAATTCGTCATTACCGCTAGTAAAATGTTTGGACCCGGATTCGTCTGGTTAATGAAGGATAAATTCGATCGACTTTCCTTAATGACTACATACTTAGCGGGTTCGCCATTTCCTGGTGCACATCATAGAAGACAACCAAAAGACATGAACACCGAAAGCGAAAGTGTGACGGACTTTTACAGACAGAAATTAGCGGCACCACCTGTAAACACAGTTGGAGCACATGGACATTTAAGCAAAGAGAGGAAACCACCGGGAGGAATTGAAGTCACACCCATTCTCTGTGTCAATACATGGGAACACGTATGGATTGCCGATTACGGAATGGGAACTGATGATGTAGGAGGAAAGAAGGTTTATGTGGAGAATTGGTGGAATGTCATCGATTGGAGTGTTGTGGCGGATCTTGCAGCTTTGTCTGGTAACTCGGCTTCAAAGCTTGAGAGGAATTAGAGATATAAAAAATTCACTCTGCATAAGATATGAGGCGGAGGAAACTACACTGTGGTATATCTGGGAGATGGCGTTCAAGGCATTTGATGTACTATATGTGTGAGGTCTCGACACAACTGCATCTAGAAGTGTAGAATATGAGATGGCGGACCAAAATACGATTGTTTATAGCTCAAGTTGGAGAGGAAGTACTCCTTTTAACATGCGGAATGTTCAATCATTCTGTGCTAGTAGCCCTAAGAGAACATTCTGAGGCAGATTTGACAAACCATAAGTTTCTCCCTTCCATATAGATATATTGGAACTGAACTGAAGATTCACCAAAATATAAGACTTCCACTCCATATTGTTTAACTAATTCCATGGGTCATGATGAGTATTTTCTTTAAATTTTGCCTTGCCCAAACAAATCTAGACACCTAGTTGGTATCTTCTACCACTCCTAACTTAACTTCCGGAGCAAAACACAACCACTTTGCCGTGCGGAAACCATTCTCACTACTTGTCGGCTAATCCCACCATGGCCAAATACCTCAAGGTGGTGTGGTCGGCAGATTTCATCGACACAGCCGACAAGTCATCGGGTCGAAAATTCTAGTGATAATAGATCATAATTGCTTCTTAAACCAGGGATTCTATCGGGTAGAAGATTCTATCTCTCTCAAATCACATAAAATACATGCCAAGGTAAGAAGTGGGAAATAAAAGATGTCGATACTTGAGTCCTCGTCTTGGACTTGTTCTTCTGTTTATTCTATTTTTTTTATCTCATTTCATCATATTTTATTGCATTACATTTTATTACATCGTGTTACCGTATCGTTTGGATTTTCAAGTATGAGTTTGAGTATGAATGTGAAAGTGAAAATGGAAATGGAAATGGAAACAGTGATGGAAATTGCTCCCGAAAAATAGCGTAGATGAGTGATTCATTTCATTCTAATATACATATCCAATCAATATATCTCCATTCATATTTCAACTCCACCCCTCTGATTCTTCAACATAGAAGATATCATCACCAGTAGCAGCGCTATCAATTTTCCATTTGTGAGATATGACAAATTAACAAATCGACAAATCAACTCCTTTTTGTCCTTTTTCATTCGCTTTGCTCTGCTTTGCCTCGCTTCATCTGCGCGCTACTTGTATGTTTACTACGTAGGTAGGTAGGTGGGTATCTTTGGATTTGTGGAGGATGAAGATGAGGTTAACGATGAGACTACCTATGTAGAGATGGAAACTTAGATGTGATGAGTTCCAGCCTACCAGATACTTCAAAAGATTCGATTTGATATGGGAAGGGAAGGGATAGATATACAGATATTTGAACATATAGATAAATAAACATAAATATAGATACCATATAGAAAAAGCCATGGCGTTTTGTATCGATCTAGATTTCGATTGCAAATATGTTTTGAGACATTCTGCATCACACGCAACTTGACAGAAAAGTGTCTTTGAATATGTATTTCTGTTCAAAGTCAAGGTCGAGGTTGAGGGTCTTCTCGATCTATCAGACTGACACTCTTACGTGCCAAGGGGGAGTTACCCCAAGTGCATCAACAACCAAGAAATCATCACACATCGAACACAAATGCAAAAACACAGAGTCGATCAATCAATGGGGGGAAAAAAGGTGCAAAGTCCAAATCTGAATTTGAGTTTCGCATTCGCCATATCCACGTGTGAATAATTAATGTAAGTATAGTATAGTAATATAATCTGCCTAAAAGCTTATGCAAAAATGCAATGCCCAGTTCTCAACCTCTACTCCAACCGCTTCTCCCAAGCCAAAATGCTAAATATCCAATATCCAAAAACAAACATAGAAAAATGCCCCAATCCTTCAAGTATTTTAATTTATCCCCGTTCCATTCGTAAAAGTTGGATGCCATGGCCATACCATACTTCTGTAATGTGATGCCAAAAAACAAAGGAAATATATCATATAAATTAATATCTTGTCATGTATATATATTCCGATCCCTCTTTGAGCATATCATCTAGAAAAGATGGATGGAACCCCAACTTTGCTCACAGCCAAATCCACCTGGTTGTTTCCAGAGATCGTTGGTGTAGGAGAAGATGGCGGCACGTCCACCACACGACTCAATGATACTAGAGACGGCAGTCTTTTGCTCTTCTACACCCGGGCAAGCAGCTCCATTACAGGTACCGGCGGAAGGCCATCCACACTCGAGGTTAATGGCAGTAAGACCAGGGCAGATAGCATCGGCAAGCTCGAGTTGAGAAAGAGCGAATTTACCAGCATTTTCGGCAGTGACTTCAGCGTTGAAGAATGGGTGAAGGTTAGCACCAGTGATGTCGACGGCGGAACAGAGGACACTAGTGTTTTCTTGCCAGATGTTGAGGGGCTCGGTGGTGGTAATTTGACCAGTGTATCCAGCACTTGCGAAGGACGATCGGGAGGAGCTGATGAATGCGGCGAGTTCAGAAGCGGTAGTGTGACCACCAAAGACGGCTTCGTTACCGACAACGATAAGCTCAACGAGAGACCATTGTCCCCATGCAATAAGTTCAGTGACTTGATCGGCTGCTCCAGAACATCCGGTCTCGCTAATGAAGATACCAACGATCATTTTGATACCAGCAAGCTTAGCAGCGTTACCGACGTTCTCGAGTCCGGAGCAATCGGTGCTGTAGATACGGATGGCTGTGAATCCCTTAGAGGCAATGAGTGCTACATCAACGGAAACTTCGGCAGCAGTCTTGCAAGATCCAGAATCTTGGTATGGGGAGTAAGTCATAGCCCATTGCTTTCCAGTGCTTCCTACACTACCTCCGTTTCCGGAAGAGGCGGAAGTGGAGGAGGCAGATGGAGATGCAACGGAAGATGCAACTACGGAAGATGAAACTGCGGAAGATGATGGGACAACGGATACAGCGCTTGATGATGGAGCAACGGATGCAGCGCTTGAAGAAGGAGCAACATAGACTGAGCTAGAGCTTGGTGTTGCAACTGGTACTACGACAGAAGTCGTAACTGGGGCTGGAGCAGAAGTAGCTTGGGCAGGTGTACCAGCTGGTAATGTGGCATCAACAATTGTGGAGTATGATGAAGAGTAAGGGCAGAAAACAACCACATTAGTTTCGGTGATTGTGGTAACAACTTCAGGTTGTGTGTAGGTTCCTGGAGCATAGGAAGCAGGAGTTGGGTAAACCCAAACAGCGGGCTCGGTAACGGTGGTAGTTAATGGATTGATGGTATATGTTCCTGCGGATGGGCATACATAGGTGGTTGTCAAGATGGTGCTTGTAACAACACCTTCTGAAGTTGAGACAGCAGCGTATGGGCATACAACTGTTGTGGCGGTGGTCACGACAGTGGTAACACCTCCAACGGTGTAAGTTCCTGCAGATGGAAGACCAGTTGATGTAGCACCACAGACAGTGGTGGACTCAGTCAAAGTCACAGTGGTGGCTGGAATGGTGTAGACACCTGGAGTTGGGCACGTGGTTGCCAAAGGAGTAGGGACAACGGCTGGGGCAGTTGAAGCTGGGGCAGTAGGAGCTGTTGATACTCCCTTGGAAGTGGCTGGAGCTGATGAGCCTGGAGCAGAAGCTGCTGGAGCAGATGGTGCTGGGGCAGATGGTGCTGGGGCAGATGGTGCTGGGGCAGATGGTGCTGGTGCCGATGAGCCTGGGACAGAAGCTGCTGGTACAGATGAAACGCCTTGAGCAGATGTTGCCGATGATGTTGCTGACGAGGAGCAGGCCGTTGGGGCGATAAGTGATCCGTTGCTATCAAATGGAGAATATCCGAGGCATGATGCATAGTTGGAAGCACAAGTGGATCGGTTTGCATCTGGAGCACTTCTACAGGTGTTGTACTGAGTGTTGCACTTATCGGAGCACGCATCAGCAGATGTTGATGGTGCTGGTGCCGATGAGCCTGGAGCAGAAGCTGCTGGTGTCGATGCTACTGAGGAACACGCAGTTGGGGCGACAAGTGATCCATTGCTATCAAACGGAGAATATCCAAGGCATGATGCATAGTTGGAAGCACAAGTGGATCGGTTTGCATCTGGAGCACTTCTACAAGTGTTATACTGAGTATTGCACTTATCGGAGCACGCATCAGCAGATGTTGATGGTGCTGGTGGTGCGGCTGAGCTAGAAGCAACAGAAGCAGCGGTTGGAGCTGGTGGGAAGTATACTAAAATTTCACGTCAGTCAATGTTCAAAAATAACATACTTCATGAATATGAGTATATATATATATAACATGTCACATACATTGAGGTTCACCAGTGACGGTAGACCAAACAGTTGTACAACCACATGACTCCGACGATGATGCTGGGGTAGCTAACAATCCTCTCTCATGGAATTCTTGATGACCATGTCTTCTTCCGAGGTCTCTAGCATTAACACCACCTGCAATTGCAGCCGCGACTGCAAGAACTCCGGCCTTCATCTTGTATATGGTAGATTATATTGTATATTAAGAATCGAATTTTGATTGGATGATATCCTCTCACACGATCGATATATTCGCAAGGTTGCTCGTAAAGAATGCCCGCTGAAAGAGTGAAGCGGTAGAGATATTTGTTCGGCGATGAAGAGAACGTGAAGATTGACAAAATGAAGGTATTCACAACAACAACGTCGATAAGAGGAGTGAGGAATGAAAGAGAAGAGGGAGGATAGAAGAGATAAATAAAAACGTGGAGAGATAATCAGACGGCAAGCTAAACCCAAAGGCCGCAGGACGGGATAAGTTCCAAGACTTCTGAACATGGGTAGGATCCCCCGAAGTTGGGATGGGAAGTGATTGATGGTCAGACTAAGCTCTTTGGGTGTTTCTCCCAATTGACAAACAAGCGATGAATGTTTAAATTTTGTGTACCAAGAGACAACACAGTAGAAGCCAAGATATTTTGATTGATTGGAGGAGAGATAATACGAAGGAAATGAAAAAGTAGGAAGAGTATCATACGTTACCGGTATTCAATTTCACTTCCCGTATCCAATTGTTTCCGTCATCACATATCACCATCGTACATACATACCGACGACCTACTCAGTACACTTTTCTTGTATCTCTCTCCCTCTCTCACTTCCAGCAAAGCGACATCCCCTCTTCTCTTCATAATGTGCATTCCCAATGTGACAATTGCATTGACCAATTTGAACAATTCCAGGACATTCATCCATTCATCCATCCAACCATCCCTTCATGCAATTTCCCAAAGTCGTATTGTCCCCATTGAGATCTCTCATTTTTTGTGGACTGTAGTACGAACAGGCCAAATAGACCAAATAGATGATGGGTGGAGTGTGGATGTGCGTCAAGGATTTTTCGATTTTTCACCGATGAGAATATTTTAACATACGGGGAGTGGATGGGATGAGTGGAATCATGGATGATAGGGGAAATGTTGGAAAGCGATCAAAATTTAAAGTTTCATTACTTGGAAGTGAAAAGAGATGCTAAGCCACACCCAATTAAGGTTTAGCCTGATTCGGATGGATGATGACGGATAACAACCTTATGCAAGAAATCATTAGAGAAATGATGAAGAGGATAATATCGTTATTGAAGTATAAAATGGATTGTGAGGTATAATATACATTTATTAAGAAGTATAATATCTCATAGTGGCCGATTGATTGGAATGTTTATTATAGACTTCACGTTATTACTATATTAGCTAGGGGGTTAGAAGGCTAGGTAAGCTCATGTTGATTCCCAGTCACAACTTCCCCGGATTATGAATTATTCATAGCTATTGACTTTTCTCGGTCTCTCTACCTGCTGTCATTCTCATCATCGTGTATACTTATTTTATATACACTCTAGGTATACTTGGGTATCTCTAGTACTATACACTTCTGAAATATACCTTCATACCTTCATACCTTCTCACCAACCTACTAACCGATACATAGTTCATGTCACAATTTCATCTCATCTCATCTCTCTTTTTGCCCCTTTCGTCTTCTCCCGTATCACTTCGGCAACATGCGCAGGTTCAATCAAAACCACGCAGTCTTTCCGTTGTCTTGCCGTTCTCTCCGTTCTCTCCGTTCTCTTCAAACACAAGGAAACAGGGGTCCTACCCTCCTTTACCACCTCGTACCTCTCTTAGTCCCATTCACAAACCACCCCTCACATCATGCATATCCACAAAACCCACAAATTTCGTACAGACTGACCGTCCGTTCATCGGTTCCTGACTAAACGTTGGTAAGGAGTAGACTAGTAGAAACCTCCAATCAATCACTCTATCTATCAAGCTTGGCATGAAGCTCAATCCTAGCAATAAGCATAATAGAAGATCATCTCATTTCCTTTGATTAATGTTTACTCGAATGGGAAACAACAGAAGATCAGACAGAAGATCATGACCATCGCATGGCACGAGAACTCGAGTCGAGAGAGAAATATTACAATTCGATCCCGAACTCAATCCCTTTTTCAATGATAGAAACCGGGACTGGGTAGGAAGAGCACGGTACCAAACTTGCTCTGACAAACTTTCCATAGATGTAGATAGATGTCTTGCACGCCCACTTTCTTTTTTTAAATAGTTGCAAAAATTGAAAGGAATCTAAAAGACCGCCATGGGTAAGTTGAGTTGCCTATCTGCCCTGTGCTTGTACAATACTCCGACGTCGTCCGTACTGGTAATTATCGGCATACGATTCAGCTTCATCTCATAGATCATCTTGGAGAGCTACCGGATTCAACGGCCAAACGCTTGGGAAGGGAAAGCCACGACCTCGGTAGACTTGGCATTCGTGTTTTTCAAAATTAAAGAGAAACATTTCCATCTGACTGAACCTTAACTTGCTTCAGAGGTTAACCATAAAAATAGAAATAGAAATAGATTGCTCTAACATATATAAGGTTGTACAATTTGATTCTCGACTGATCGTGGAAGCAAAACGAGCATTGAATGAGGAGAGAGTCGAAGAAGGAGGAGACAGGAAGAAGAATCGAAGAAGCAGAGCGAGGAATATTCAACAAACCGCTATGATACTGTCACCATTATATCGGTATTCGTACCTAGGCACTCACAATCAGCACAGTCATTGAATACCTACTGACGGCCAGTATAAGTATACTCTTGCAAGATCTGTCAAGAGAAAGCTTCATGAAGAAATATACTTCAAGGACCCCGAATGGACCCAAATTGCTCTGATATCGTCATGATGATGTAGTACTTTACCATAAAATAAATACTAGGTAATTAACAATCATCAACAGTATATGAAGTATGCCTCTTCGTCACCTCATGTACTCATTATCTACCTCTTCATCAGCAAAACGAAGAGGAAAATGGAATAATGGTCTCGTGACTCTCATCTGTTTTTTTAAAGTTCGTTCCCACGTTCCCACAAGTCTAGACCGCCAGTCCTTTCTATCTACCTAGGCTTACCTAAGTTTCACCACCTAAAACCTTTTGACCAATCAAAAAGGACAAAACTCAAACCAGCGCGTCAAATACCTTTTCTGCTCTTCTTACCCAATCAACTTGCACAAATCAATATTCACCAGTCATTCGCGCCAAAGGTTCAACAACAAATCTTCCTTCTCAGCGCTTGATAACCTGTCCATCTCCAATTACTTCACGACGAAGACACTACACTATCTAATTGGCTATTGAATCATTATCTGAAATTTCTTCAAACTCTAACTTCAATACCAATGAACCATTTTTATCATCTCGAACCGCTGTCGTGAGAGCCAGTACTCCCATGTGTAGCTTGTTATGGATCGCATTTCTGAATATCCTATTCGAAGGTACACGGTCGACGCATGAATGACCATCTAGACATGGTTATGGGTCATCATTGAAGAATGTATGGGTGATGACCTTTGATTCCTCTAAAACCATGTGTTTCTGAAGTAGAAGTCTCTTACAGAAACGCTATATGATGAAAGTCAAGTCAAATGCTTGATCAGGTAGTGAACAAAGGAAGTTTAGTTTGTTTCTCTTCATACTCAAAAACTTCCACTCCATTTTTTTCTGAATCTCTCGACTTTCATTGTTCATTATTTCGCGCGGGGAAAAAAATCTCGCAATTCTAATTTTATCTTTCTTTGTTACTCTCTTATATTTACCAATCCTCCCGGGTTTCTTCCCGTGATATACTCTTTCTGGACTCTACATCCTTTACATTAATACTTCTTGTATCATTTGTTCCTACTTCTAACACTCATTCATACTATTGATACGTTTAGACTTTACCATTCTAACACAACGTCCGCTGCTTCAAGTGTCTACATCACGATTTGGTACATTTTCGGTGAGAAAAGTGTTATTACACATGGTTGCAGCTATGAGGCAAAATCGAATCAGCAAACAATCGCTGTTGATTATTGTTTCTCTTTTAAGCTTAAATTTCGCGCAAGCAAACACTATCTTCGAACGGGCAACATGTCCTCAAGCGGGCTATGTACAATGTGCAAATACTGGGTTACCATCAGACTTTTGTTGCCCCTCTACGTCGACTTGTATAGCGTTAGCACAAAACACCACCTTATTGTGTTGTCCTAGTGGAAGTGATTGTAGTACTATTCAACCTATTACTTGCGACATCACTCAACAAAATATCACTTCACATCCTGAAAATACACTCAAAACTACAGCTCTGACAGCAACTTTGGAAAAATGTGGAAGTAATTGCTGTCCATTTGGTTATACTTGCGTAAATGGAAACTGTCAGATGAACGCCGATCAAGCGGATTCCGTTCCAGGTCAACAACAGAGTTTTGCCGCGGGCAGTGGAACATCACCTGTAGCCACGAGCTCAGGTACACAAGCAACCGCTACTTCGGGAAATCCCTCGTTCACTAACCCATCGTCTACTTCGACTTCATCCTCAACCGGCACACCTATAACTATCATCCCAGAAACATGCGACAAATACCCTGTTGTTGCAATTCTCATAGGTTTATTTCCAGGTATCGCCATAGGAGCCATTCTTGCTCTTCTCACTGTATGCTGTCTCGGTCGCCGTAAACATTCTCAACGCAAAAGCGGTTCCTCCTTCGGAAATATCTCCGACCCTGTTCCCACTAGCGACGTACGTACCGATTTCCTCCGCAAGATGCCTCAAACTCCTTCTACATCCGCAGATGGTACTCCCCGAAGAAATAAAACCATTACACGTGTTCAATCCTTATTTCGAAAATCCACCGCTACAGGAATGTCCAATAGTCCTGGCATAGCTTATCAAAATAGTCCACCTCCAGCATTACCAATCCCACTCAATATACAAAGAAAAAAACAAACAAACGTATCAAATCGACCCATTACTCCTCCTTTACAACGCGAGCCGAGTTATGAAGATATAAATATATTTACAGATGCCGATACCGCGAGTTCTTTTCGACAAGTAAGAGAACAACAGAACCAGAATCAAAGTGTGAATCATCTCGGTTTACCACCAACATTTGGAGTAGAAGGACAAAGAGGAGGAAGTCACAACACTACATTCACGGATATGATGGAGAGGAGTGGATTAGCTGGATTACAGAAGGGTCAACGTACGTATCAACTTCTTGAAGATAATTTGATGAAACAAGAGGGATGGAAAGATAGGGAGGATAGATGATTTGTTTTTTTTTGTTCTGGTTTCTTTTTTGGATGGTTTTTGAATCCCAATTTGATTTTTGAGATACAAAGTTGCTAATTGTTTTTGTTTTTTCGGGCGAAAAGCGTATGTTTATCGAGGAAGTGTAACGACCTATACACCCAGTCCACCACAGAGAGATAGAATGGGATAGTGATGTTGTTTTTGCGGTTATAATTGGGGGTAGGGTAGGGTGAGATTGATTTTTTTGGTGTTATTGATAGGGAGCATGGATACCTAAGAAGTATAGATAATCAGCGACTCGAAGAGATGTTGATGAAAAGTTTTAAAGATACAATCCGCGAGTTCGGATGGGATGGGAGTTTTAAGGTTTATTGGGTGGAGGATTTGGACTGGGAGTTTTGTACTACTTTACTTTACATTGCATTATATTATAGTCTAATATTTTTTGGGGGTTTGTGGAGCTGTCGTGTATACAGACAGATGAATTATATATGAAAATATTTATCTCTTTCTCCGCACCTTTATATTATACTGTGGTATCTAGATACTTGTATACATTATATATCTACATATTTTAAGATTCTTGTACTCTTATAACCTTCATCTCCATTCTACAGTATAATTGAAATAATTACTCACTCACTCTTCTAAATATTTATATATGCCCTCTTCCAAATTCATTTTAGAGTCTATGTACTCTTTACTTATCCAAATCGTCGAATCTTTTCTTCAAAGTTGTTCTTCTTCCTCCTCTTTTTTTTACTCTCCACTCTATATGATATCTACCTAGTATATACCTACCAACCTATATATATATATTACTTACTCTCATCCTATCCTGTCCTGTCCTGTCCCATCCCATCCCATCCCATCCCATAGAACTTCTCACCTAGGTAGCTCCACTCTATCTAGATACCTATTATTACTACCACCACCAATACAAATACGAATACAATTACTGTTATCATCTATCTAGATAATTCCCATCATCTCCACCTTCTCAATCTTCTCCAACCCCCATTATTCTCGTTCTTATTCTTCATCTCTTAACTCATCAAAACGTAAACATAAAAACACAAAGACAAAGACAAAAAGACGGGAATAAAAACACAACCCTCATTTTAATCCAGACTGTATGAACGTAGGTGAATGACTTCAATTCAATGGCCACTGTATTGAGCTTTAGGCGAAAGCGAAAGAGACTAGCTCTTTCAGTAGTGCCTATACAAGGCCTACTACTTTCTGTACATAGCTAGCTCTTTAGATAGAATACAATACAGACATTTAGGACCTACGAATACGTGGGTGCTACGTCCTTCCGTATCCCAACACAGACTGACCCAAAAACAACATAAAATGGAATAAATCTCCAATCTCCCATCTCCCATCATCCTCCCTATACATCCCCTCCCCATTTTAATTCCTCTCCACCAGCCCAAAACTCGCATCCCAACTACTCCATATATCCAAACCCTTCCACAACCTTCCACAAGCACCATCTCTTAACAATATCTCTCAATACTTCTACTCTACTCTACTGATACCAACAAATACATACACTATCCATATTTGCTTCCCCTTCCCATTTCCCACTTCTCTATCATGTGATCATCTATTACTTTAATCATCTATATTTAATTACCTATTAATCTTGTACTCATCATCTTTATTATCTAGATACTCTACTATACTCTACAACCTATCAAGCTCAACTCAACACGATATAATCAACAAATACCGAATAAATCACTCTTGATAATATAATAACTGTTATTTCTATATTTCAAATACTACTTGTATTTACTATATAAAATATTCTTTCCATTGTTACTTGTTCCCTTGCCTCTCCTCTCCTCTCCTCTCCTCTCCTCTCCTCTCCTCTCCTCTCCTCTCCTCTCCTCTCCTCTCCTCTCCTCTTCTTCGTTATTTTCCCTTCTAAAATTCAATTCCAGTTTCACTATCCATTTCACTATTCATTTCACCCTCCATCCTTCAGAAACTCATTTATCTACATACCTACCTCCTACCTCCTAATACACATCAACAACAACAACAACAAACTCAACAAACTCAACAAACTCAACGACCAACAACAACACTAAAATCAACACCACCAACCCTAAATATCTAAAATAACCCAAGATCCACTTACCTACTGCCCTCTCCCCCTCTCCCTCCTTCTTTTCTTAAATTGATCTTTCATACACACACACACACACACACACACACACACTACACATGGACACACACACTACACACAATCAATCCTCTCAATTCAATAACAAACGCTAAATAAATCCCACCTCCCAGCTCATAAACTCATAAAGCCGTGTATAATCCACACCCACACCCACCCACATCCTCAATCAATCAATCAACAAAAAAATGGAGAGAAAAGAAGCATTAAACAAACCACCAAAGGTAGGTAGGTCAAGACTACGATTACAAAAAAAACATATAACATTACGCCATCTTTTTCAAGAAGGGAGACTGACTGACTATACTACCGCCGCAGCCCTAAACAAATCTGGGAACTTTTCCTTCCCACTTTCCAACCACGCGATGCATTATGTACGCTCAATAATAAACAACGAGCAAATTCTAATCAATCTCATTCAATCACTTCCATCAGAATAACGCTATCTCAGCCACCTCCTCAACTATCCGCGTAATCGTCATATTGATGTTGCTGCCATCGATGATTCTCCTTATTCAACGAAGTATTGGAATTAACCCAACTTGGGTTACTCCTCAAGATTCTTTCTCTCTCAAACTCCTTCCATCGCTTCATAGTAATCTTTGAACTATCGAATTCTCCCTCGTATTCAATACCCGCCTTCTTAGTCTTTTCACCAGCTGTCTTACGAGTATCTCCCCAGGAGAAATCATCAAATTTCCAAAAGGCGTATGCTGGAAGTAAGAAATTCCAAATTGGCAATGAGACAAGATAAATCATCATCCAAAGAACATAAACCCAACGATGAGCTGTTATAACAATCAAAACTGCTGGTAGACCAAGGATCAATCCTAAAAGTACGAGCGGAATGACTTGGACAGGGCGACGAATAATCGAAATGATTACTAGAAAACAATTAGTAAAATATCACAATTTCATGAATCATGATTTACTTACCGACGTAGATTGTAAACGCAATAGCGGCTGGAAGAACCAAAGTACTGACGAGATCGATAAAGACGACAAACTGCATACTGAAGCAGAAAGTACCACAAAGATCTCTAACCAGAACCAATTCCATCAGATTGTGAACGGTACTGTTGATCCATCTACGTCTCTGTGACATGAGAACCCAAAGAGAGTCTGGTACTTGAGTTTTGCAAACAGCTTGTGGGACAAATACTTGTTTACGCTTGGGGAATGTTCGAAGCATGAGTGTTGAGAGGTATCGATCCTCTCCCAAAAGTAGCAAGTTCTTCTTGTGTAGCGTGTCTACTACGTTATCGGAGTAATGTTCGACGACATCAGGGTTGGCCAAGATGGGAACCCAATAGTTACCGCCCTTTGGAGCCTTGATTCTATACATGGAGAAACAACCAGGAAGACAAGTAACACCACCGAAAATCGATTCGAAAGATTTGACCGAGTGATGAGAAATAAAGTATTCGAAAACTTGTATCGCGGTTGTGAAACTGGCACGTTTGTTCGCAATCTTTGTCTCTCCGCAAAGTCCCATAATTTCAGGATCTTTAACCATTGCCGATACCATGTGTGTCAAACTGTCTGGGAAAACCTTTGTATCTGCGTCAACCATAAGAACAACCTCATACATATCCGGGAAGATGCCGCTGATTTGATAGAATCCATTAAAGATCTCAAACTCGAGTTCAGTCATACGTTCATCAAACATGACTTTCTGCAAGAAAGACATCAAGATAATTTGACTGTCGCGCTTGCCTCTGTTTCCAGGTTTGCGGTGTGTAGCTTCGTCCGGAGTACCACACTTCACAATACAGACCATTGGAACTCGGAGTTGTCTATTTACGTTGATAGTGGAATCAGCACCGTAATCGTAGAATCCAGCGTACACTTTGGCCATGTTATGTCTCTTCGATCCTCTTTCGACCGCTACGTAAGAGAATGCAGGAACTTCTTCAACAGGAGTGACAAAATCTTTCATCATGCCAAGAACAACTTCTGGTGTTGACTTTGGTTCGCCTTCACCTTTGATAATACCATCACAAATAACCAGAATAGTTTTATGACTATTGGGGTAATCAGTCGTAGCGATAGAGTCGAGGGTCGTACGAATACCAAGTTCACCTTCAGAATAGGCAGTCACGAGAAGAATTGCATGAGCCAGAGGGAATCCGTATGGTTCCCATTCTTTTGGTGGTTGAGGAACCACTAGATCGTGAATGAAGCTGGTAGGACCGGACCCATCGAGATCATTTGAATTATCAGTTCGCAAAAGGCTGTTTCGGCTACTGTTTTGATTTCGGAACATAGGATTGGGGGGAATCAGCTGAGCTGTTGAGGCTTGACTTGCCATGGTTGTAGGTTGAGGGCGTCCAATGCGAGATGATCGATCAGCAGCGGCATAAGGATTCGAGAAACGAGATGTCGTTGGCAAAAACACACTAGTTCGTTTGCTTGTCTTATCGGATCCAGATCCCGCAGCGGAGCTACCAATATCACCAGCCAATCTTGGTGGAGCCCGGTAGATATCATCGGACCATTCCTCGATTTGTTGCTGACGCTTCTTGGGGTCAGATGATTGCGAAGTCTTCGATGCGGCGTATTTCGAGGCAATGAACCATTGGAATATCAAAGCTAAGACGAACTTGACCAGAACAATGGCAAGAATGAACGCCAAAGAGACGTAAAGGACTACTTTGGAAGCGATACATCCAACAGTTTCGGTATCAACACTTCCAACTTTAATGATTTGCTCAAAACATTGAGCAATCTTCTTGTCCTCTGAAGATTGGAAGGCGTGTGTAACATCCCTACCGCGTACAGCGGCGTTGGCAGCGGAAGTCTTATCAGCAAGGGTGGTAAACCTGGATGGAACGGAAACCTGGGTGGTGTTGAACCATTTTAGTAGGTCTAGATCAAGAACATTGCCAGAGTAAACAATAAGGTTCCTGGAGGAATTCTTGATGTCATCCCAGGTGAAATAGACAGCTCCAGCACTATTGAGTCCGTAGAACGACGAGCGAGCATCTGCCTGCAAATGGCACGCGTACCCAAAATAGGCACCCACTGTCTCATTTGGAGAGCTTGAACCGTCTTGATTGAATGCATGGCAAGGGAAGTACCATGCAAGATCTTTATCAGAATTGGTTGGAACGTCCGATCCATCCGCTAAAGTGATTAAGCCTTTGCATTTGCCATTGACATTCTGGAACAAGAAACTTCCGTCCATACCCCCATACTTCTGGGGTAAATCATACAGAACGTTTGCCCCATTTGTGATGCCTGTTGCAGCGGGATGCTCTG